CCAGGTCCCACATTTGCAATTACCTACTTTATTTTACTTGAAAATTTGAAGCGGTGATTCACCGATCGATCCCAAGACGCGGCATGAATCTCAACGTGTGATTTTAATGTTGCTGAAATGTTGTATCCTACATCCTGTTATGGCCCCTTTACTCCAGCTTTTGTGTGTTACGGCGAGCTTCTCAGCTGAGTCTTATGAATGGCGTCCTGAGGCTCCATCCAAAAAGGCCCCGAGCTAAAGGGGCAAGTGGCGTCCCACCATATGCCTGCAACAAAACACCATATGCCTCAATGGTTAATTCATTCTTACAAAGCCTGGTTTTCAGCATCTCCACATTACTATTAATACCACAACACTCTTTTGAACCTTTGTACAACCTCCAGTACGACGTGACATTGCAGACCTCCAATATCTCTTGGCCAATCACAAGTGTGTCTCTTGTGTCTATTCTGGTGCCATTACAGGCAAGCGTGTAGGTGTGACAGTGACTGAGTGTGTGAAAGAGCATAAAGAGAGTAACAAGGGGTTTCAATCACTGTGTATGTCGGTGGGAAAGAGACAGGGGGGGTGTGGGGGGGGGGCTGACAGTGTGAGCGAGAACGTAAGGGGAAAATAAAAAGCAAATGCTCCAAAACAATGTGCTCGGTGATGCCAAGGGGAAAAAGGGGTCAGCTGCTGGTAGATTTTGGGTAAAATCGGCGCTTCGTTGTGGCAGATGGAGGCTGGTTCCCAGGGAGCCAGACATGCTACAAATAGCCCAGCGTGCACACTCTGCTGCACGAGATACAGTAGAACATGCAGACATGAAACCCACTCAGAACAGCAGATGCACAAACACTGGAAACGTTCTGGGCTTTCATTTGGGAGAAACACACAATGAGCGCGTTGCATAAGCTCCGACGTCTCTGTGCGGCGTGACGAGATTTGATCTGGTTCTTGACCCGGCTTGTGGTCGTAACATCGCGAGCACAACGAGAGACCCGCCTGGAACTGTCCGGTCACACACAGAGGAGCTCGGGCCGAGTCCGGCGTACCTTCTCCTCTGGCCTTGTTCTGTCATTGAAAGTGAGCCAGTGCAAGAAATGTACATTCACCCGCTTTCTAAACAGGAACAAGGCCTTATTCATAACGATAACACCGCCCAGTCATCCGTACAGGAGGTCCGACTCGCATAAAATGAATTAACTTGCTTTTTTCGCTTTTTGAAAACAGTTCTAAAAATATCAGCTCTGATAACTGAAAGCGTCTGAATACATAATCGGTTCAGCAGGCGGGTTTAATTTGTGTCATGAGTGACAGCATCTGCAGTGATGAACACGGTGTCACACAGGAATGGGGGAAACGTGGCGGGAGGCGAGGAGCAATCTCTCCCACCCAAACTCCCCCCGTATTTAGTATGAAGTATTAAGTTTGAAGCAGGCAAACATCACACCTTCTCGAAAGTGGATTCTCTGGTGCCCCCAAACAGAACTTGACTAAACGTACTTGGATCACCACGGGGGGGCGAGCGGGGCAGAGGTCGCGGTCGGCAGATGGAGATGTGGCCGCGAGGACACTGGATCCTGAGCCGATTAATTTTCTCACCCCCCGCGTGCCGGCTGAAAGGCAGACAGGAGCTTTTCTCCGCGTGCTGTCAAGGTGAGGACACGTTGCACCGCAGACACCCGGCTGGCCTCATTAGGTAATGAAACTCTGGTGAAACGTTGGGACGTTGGGCTTAAAGAGAATATAAAGGGCTTTGCTCCGTATGAAAACACTTTTCTCTATCTGGTATTCATCGGGTGATTTGAAGGCGTACTTGTGTCACTCACCAACGCCGCGGCCCCACTGGAGCCCGGTGGCTTATATTCACCTTGTCTGTTGTATTCCGTATTACATATTCATTAATAATGTCTAAAACATCAACACAATGTGCTTTCAGCTCATAATCAAATCTACTCCTCATCTGTATATTAATTACAAATGTATTTAGTTTGTCCTGATAAACACCCACGAGGCTTTATATCATTAATCCAAGCACGGATAAAAACCAGAAGCAGATGCAGCACGTTGCAGCTCTTATTAAATAAGTAGGGGATCACAAATGATGAGAAATGACTGAGCCTAAATGAGCCTCCTGCGGCATACAGTAGTCTGAGCTCGAATTTAGTACGTAGTGTTTAAGGTGTCCTGATACACGGTGAAACACCTGCAGGCCGATCAGAGACACGCTTCCCCTTAGTAACCGAATTCCCCCGAATCAGAGCAGAACTGTGGACGGTCTTCATCAGCGTCCACTCTCTGGACGCAAAGCAGCAGCAGCTGACAGAAGGACGTAGCACCTCTCACTGTGCAGCCCCACAGACTCATTTCTACCTCCACCACCCCCATCGGTCCTGTAGAGAAGGCACATCAACAGTAACATACACGACCACCTCGCGTCGCTACGCTAGAACCAACAAATGAAGTAACGCGGTTACTTCTGCAGAATGACCTTTGAGGTTTGTGTAAGTCGTTATTTCCACGCTGTCCAGGATTTGAATCGACCCCCCCGACACACATGCACACTCCACCTCCGCCACAGCTGGGCCCGAGAACAAGAAGCCCTTTTCACAGCTATTTCGGCCAACGTGAGTACAGTAACATCGCATTCCAAATCCCCGGTGACTTAGAAATTAACTTGCAGAAATGAAATGAGCAGGAACGGCTCCGTAGCCTGAAATAGCTGCATCAGACAGGAGTTCAGAGAACAATGTGATTGGGCTGCTTCAAACAAGCCCAGTGGGGGGGGGACGTTCCAGACAAAATGATTTATTCAGATGAGAGACACAGAGGAAGGTTCAGTGACATTATGCAGCTGTGGTTTGGAAGAAACAAAAGGACGGGGGGGGGGGGTATTTTGTACGAACATACATGAAGCAATTTCAGCAAAAGACACATCCGGTCTGCTAATCTATCACTTTCAAAACTCACCAGTTGATACCTAAATGAGGAAAACACCAGTGCTGAATTGAATTCACTTCGGGTATCACACATCTCTTACACCGCAGGTATTTCTCTTTGTGTGTCAAAACCCTTCAGGTGATTTTCCTTGACTGCGATGGAGAGAGATGGAGCCGCCGGCAGCGATGAGCCAGCGTCATTGTTGGAGATTAAACGCCACGATCACTATCGTCAGAAGGATTGTCAAAAGTATATTCTTAGGGCCCCGCTGATTAATGCAAATTACGGCTTTCACTCTCTCGTCTCTGCTGCTGTTGAAGACCTCGGTGTCACATTCCCTGTTTTCCGATTTTCTGCACTACGGCCAGCGTCTGCACGATTTCCTTTTTGAGTTTTCTTCAAAGACTGTAAAATGGCTGTGTTAGAAGGACTTTTATCCATGTCCAGTGCTCGGAGAAATAAAGCCCAGGACCATATAAAGTGTGTTGAATGTAGGAGTCATGATTAGAGTATTGCAGAGGCCACCTCCCTTTTCCTGCCTCTCTCTTTGATTTATTCCCACCAGCTCCCAGTGGTCTGAAAATAGTGAAAACGTGTTATACCTGTAGCCATGGAAGCGGCAGCAGATCCCACTTTGCCGTCTCACTGGGAGGCAAAACCCTCTCATTTACACACAGATACACACACACACACGCATGCAAACAGTATGTGAGCTGCCACCTGTGATTATGGTGCGGTTACATAAGGAGCTCTACAGTCTGTATGTGTGAACCTTGTGATCTACTGTTCTCCAGGCCTGCAGCTCCACGCCGTCAAAGCCTTACGTTATGCAGGGACGGGTACGGGTACCTGTTGCCGACACACACACACCGAAAGGCGCTTTAAAAGGACGCCCTGAGCTCCGCTAGTTGGCGTCCTCACAGCCAAACACAATAGCCCGGTGATGATCGCACACCGGCTACTGCAAATCACCCTCAGGAGTCTGAAATCAGAGTGTGCGAGGGAGAAAGAACGGGAGCCCACAGCGAGGAAGAGGGAAAGAAAAGAGAGCGAGGGAGAGGGTTCCTGCACTGATGAATCATTAGTGATCGAGCTGGGGCTGAGCTAGCACGGCTGCATTTAGAAACTTCACACCCCCCTCAACAGCCCCCCCCACCCCCCCGCCCCCCCCCCCGCCCCCTTGCTAATTGTCATCTCTTTTAGCATTTGAGTGATGACTGGCTCTGTGGAAAGACGTGAGAACAGGGAAACAGGCGCTCGGGTCTGACGACTACGTCGCGCTTTGAAGCCGTCGAGGGGCAACGTGTCCCCGCCGGTCGATCTGCAGGTTGCTCACAACGACAGCTGGAGGCAAGAACCCAGAACACTACGTCATTTTTCAGAGATACAGGCATACGGAGAAAGAACAACAGTCCCACAGTAAGAGCGATAAGAGTGATGGACACGCTACAGGGGTTCTGGAGAACATCTCCCACACACACACACACACACACACAAAGTGCACGTTTCACTGGTATTTAGTGACAAGTGTGAAGGGCCTCTCCTCTCACAGAGACACGGCATTACATGCTGGTCCAGACTGCACTGCACGACACGCAGGCCGTCGCTGCTGCAGAAGACTATCGCAGGTTAGACAGGACACGAGAATATTTCACTCGGCCGTGCAACAGTCAGCTGTTGCTGCAGAGTCTCTGCCTCTTACCTCGGCGAGGTAAATGATGTAAGGAGTGAAAGCAAAGCCGTACGGACTAAAAAGGCAGCTGACAGCTGATCGTTTCATGTGGGAAGTCATTGTGAAAGCTGCTCTTCTTTATGATTTTACTTTTGATTAACATCTGATCAAATACAATGGTGAATTGTCTGCTTGTGCTTTCTGAATGATACGTCTGTGCAGCAAGTTGCTGTCAACTGGTAGTGCCATGATGTGGGAGGGAGGGAGACAACGAGAGAGAGGGCGAGAGAGAGAGGAGAGGAGGGAGGCAGGACTGCAAATGGCAGCTTCTGTGACACCACTGGAGGGAGGGAGAGACGGAGAGCAGGGAGGGAGGGAGGGAGGGAGCGAAGAAATAGACGGGGGAGAGAGAGTGTGAAAGAGAGAGAGAGATCAGCAGTCCAACTAGATCAGATTGCAAAAGATTGATAAAGAGAGATGTTCAGTTAATAAGCAGCGCGGAGGACTGAACAGCTTCATGTGAAGGAAAGTCTTGATGTTGCCGAGGACGGAGGAGGAGCAGAGGACCGGCTGGACAAATTGCCCCAGAAGATGGAGATACAAAAACCTGAATTTTCACTGGGATAATCCTCGCTGAACGCTTCGTACCTGTTCTGTACGGGAGGCAACGGCCCAGCACGACAACAAAAAAGTGTCTCGAAGGTTCTGGTGTGATTCGGTCCGGTCGCAACTGCGTCTTAACTGCGTCTCATCTGCGCTTCCGAAAGCACCTGAAAAAAGAGAGAGAGAGAGGTAGAGCGAGAGAGAGAGAGCGAGAAGACAAGCAAGGATGAAGAAATTCAAGCGGAGTCTGCGCCTTGTGCTGAAGATGATGGAGTGGGTTTCTCCGGTATTAGAGTAACACAAAGAAGGAGCAGCTGCGCTGGCAGATGCAAAGAATGCCTCAGTTTGGTTAACTGGGACACTGGGAGAGAAGACACCACCGTTTACTTCTGCAGCCCGGGGGGAGGACAGGTAGAGAGAAAGGTAAGAGAGGGAGCCTGCAGCCTGATGGACATCGGTCAGGTGTCCCGGGTCTCTGGAGTTTATGCTTTATGCTCTCGAGCAGGAGTCCATAGTCACCTTGTTGAAATGACACGTCCAATACCAAACTTGTGGTTTATATAAATGTGTGATAATTGCTAAAAAGAATCCCACGATTATTCATCTCGATGTGAAGGTAAGCACCAGACATTAAAGCAGATTCATTTCAAAACAACAAATAATTACACAACTGCACAGAATAAAGCTACACGTGGATAAGCACAATGTGTTTATAATATTAAATGATGTTGCTTCATCACCAAGACCCTCAAACTGGGTTAATCACCTTTGATCCTGAGCATAGATTTTGGAATGACCGACGAGGCCAACAGGCTTCCAAAAAAACGCACACTTATAGAAATGTAGGTGAACGACGTCAAGCATTAAAAGCCGTCGTTTAGGCAAAACTTTAATCCAGAATTTAGCAATGAAGTTTGTATATACGTTGCTGGTGGATTCGCCTCGTCTCCGCTGACGTCAGAGCTTGTTCAGTCAGACGCGAGAGGGTGAGCAGATGTAAAAGGATTGTATTGTGTGACAACAGTCCTGCTGGAAAGATCCATTGTTCAGTCTAAAGAAAATGCATTGGCCAAAATAATATGAATAATTATGACATTTATGAAATTGGCACCAAATTAATCTGTTTGTTATCATCTAGAAAGAATAATAGGTTTATTGACCATAAATCATACAAAATAAGCCATTTAAGAAAAGCAATTTCAAATGTGTGATTTATATTAATATGTGGCATTTGCTAACACATTTTAGATTTAATCCACTAATGACTTCAATTCAATTTAATTTGGTCTGAAACACAACGTTCATCTGTTTCAGATGTGCACAAATCAAAACATTCAGTCGACGTAAAACGACACGCACCACGTCTGCCAAATTCATCCCCAACTCGTGATATAAATGCATCGGTTAGCACTCGAGCTCTTTCTGGGCACCTAATTATCCGGAGAGTGCTGTAGCAGATAACAGACCACAGATGTCATTTGGGATAATATAACACCGACGTGAGCAGGTATCAATGGATTAATGCGTTGTTTTGGGTACTGCACTTTTTGATCAGTGTATGAAGAAATCGCTAATGTGACGTTACAAAAGAGACAGAGGACGAGGAGGACAAAGATCTATGCGGAATAGCCTGACAGCTCAATTACCTCACCTTGCTTTTCATCTCAGCGTACTTCAGTTTGAATCACTTTTATGATCCAAAAAAAAAAGGCTGTTTAGCAAGCAAACTGAAATTGTAAAATATAACACATCCACAATAAAGGCACAACATCTCTTCAAACACACGGACAATAACGTCTTGTACATCTCGCTGTAGAGTATCTGGCAGTACCGCGTTAGGAATAATGTACCCACGCTTGTGAGCTCAAACCAACAGGTGCTGCTTCAAATTGGAAAATTACAGAGTTTAGGTTAAATATGGACGATTGAGCCTTTGTGAACGCGTACAAGTAATTAAAAGCTGCACAAATGAGGATCAAAAAGGCCCAGGGAGAAGCTTGCATGTGGGAATGATCGATCAAAGGACACCAGGTGTTTGAGTGCAGAAAAAAAAAAAACTACAGGTGCAGCTAGCGAGAAAAATACAGATCTTGTTCTACTTGTATATAATTTACCAGCTGTTCAAACAATGTGAGAAGGTGACTCGGTACTTTATGGACTCGTCTCCCTGCTACTTCTCTCAACCTGAGACGGCATCCCAGCCCTGGGTCTGATTCCCACTGTCACCTGCTCGTCTACCAGATGAACCGTGAACAGCCTTCAAAAATGGCACAGTGTCAATTATTGCGTCGAGTCTGAAAATGACAACAACAACAACAACAACACGCTACGCGCTTGTTCGTGTAACACGCTGTCTATCGGACATGCCGCTGCCCGTCCCCTCGCGGTGAAGCGCCGTTTATTTCTATAGGAAAATACCCGAAGGTTACTCGAGACGAGTTGAGTTCCGCTCGGCGAGCTATAGGAAAATACAAGGAAACATGAGCCCCGGCTCTTCCTTCACAATGGCCCTGGGAGGTGGGCCCGGCATCGCGGCGGTTCAGCTCGGTCTCCTGCGAGCTTCTCCTGAGATGAAGTAGCCTATCCCGCTGCACGACATTGTTCCTCCCAATCCCTTCAATTATTTTGCACATCCAATTATTCATTCCATTGATCCCAGCTGGCGGCGAGCTTATCGTCACCCCTTGACTCTCCACTTAACTCCCCGAGAACACACACGCACAGGACAAGGTTACAAGAGGTCACGTAGGAAATTATTAGCTGTGGTAATCACTTTCTCTGTCCTGCCTTATGAATCAGGAGTGGATGTATCCTGAACAGCGTATGAACAGCGAGGCCACACAAAAATATGATTGCAACAATAAACACCAATGCCCCCCCCGCTGAGCGATCATTCCCAGCAGCCTCTAGTGCAACATCTGCATGGCAGAGCGCTATTAAAGGCCTAAACTTTGATCCCCTGAACAAACAAAAAGGTTGATCCACTACCACAAGTCGAAACACAGCATCTGAATCTGCTGTGACTTTCACAAACAACATTTTGTCAGGTGTTTTCCATTTTGGCCGCAACCCTTTTGTTTGAATTTAATAATTGTGACTACTGTAACCGGTTCAATGACAACGGCACTAAACGGCTGTATATTTTCATCTATACAACGAGCTTTTCAATTAAATGTATTCCCAAACTGTGATTAATATGACTAAAGGGCTACAGACGATTTACCTTCAAGCTAATTTAGCTGTTCAGCTGTCACTCGATCTAATGGCACGCTGAAGACTACCATAAATTCATAGTCAACAGGCATGTACAGGCAATCGTTACAGGCTCTCAGGGGGACAATCTGACTCATAGAGCTACATGTGGAGCTACAGCAAAGGCTTTCTCATCGAATGACTCCAAAAGCCTTTTTACTTGCGATTGACCAATTCTCTGGACAGCTGACCTTGTACAGTAAGACGTGGAGACTGCGCACGTCATGCCTGCAGAGACAGAGATGTTTAATGTACTAGTGTCAGTGCCCGTCTCAATAATAGAGCAGTGTGGTCACTGTGCAATACATCCAGGCCCACCTGCCTCTACACAGGTGAGCCAACCAGCACATACGCACCTGATAATAAAGTTTAGGTGACATTTTTACAGATTAGAGGTGAGCGGATGAGGTTGACTATTTTAAGCATCAACAGCTGTGCTCTTTGGGGAATGTAGTGTGATGTGGTGTGAAAACAGAGCCGTTGGAAGTATAAAAATAGAACCTTTAGCTACAGTATATTTTACTAACGGGACAATCTTTAGGTCATTTGGCTCCAGATGAGGAGAACTTCCACCTGAAAGAGTGGAAGTGAGGATGGAATCAGTGCGAGTGCTCGGCAGAAGGCAGTGCACCCGGGATTTGGGATCGCACATGACTGAACCGTCAAGTCTTCAGGGCCCAAATCAGGCCAGCAGACACAGAACGGATGTTGCCAGGCGATAAAAGCTGACTGCACCCAGAAGGGCTTCGGTCCAGCCCCCCCCGGGGGCCGAAGTCCTTGACCCCGAGGGTCAACATCCAGTGCAGGGGCCGGGTCATCTGTCTATTGTAGATTCATCACATCCCAGACTAACATTTGAACACATACACGACCAAGTGTGTTGTAAAGCTCCACTGTGTAATTACAATGAATAGGTGATACAGGGCATCGCACAAGGGAGAAATCTGCTGCCTACTTGTACCATGCGGTGCTATAAATTGATCGCATCCTCACAACATGATTAATAATACCGCAAATTATACAGAATGGGGTCAAATAAATAGTCCTCCCTCATCTCTGTACTCGGCATCTGGAATTGCATGACCGTGGAGTCAGTGGCGCACATGCAGCCCCCCCCCCCCTCTGCAGCATGTTCAAATACTAAACCACAAACAACCCAGTCTACTGCCGGGACAAACAAGTATTGTCGTGAAAGGACAGTGGCAAAGACCACACTCAATACGTGATGTGTGGTGCTGCTGGTAATCTATAAATACAAGCGTGCTGCAAGCGAGCGTGTGATAGCCTTCCCCGTCACCGGCAGGCCTGAAACATGACAGCCCCCCCTGATTTCATAAAACACCTAACCAGATGCAAGAAGTGACTCACATGATGGTTTTTCATCCCGGAATAATAAACATCTGGCAGGTGACTACCGCTGCCAACCGTCTAATTTGAAAGAGAAAAGCAGAGGAAAAGCCACGTGACACAAGTGGAGACCAGCTCTTCATTTAGCCGGCCAACATCCAAAGACACGAGGACCCTTCAGTGAGGACCAATTGGATTTTTGAGTCGTGATGTTTAAAGGGAACAAGATGGCGAGGCGAAGGAGAGTGAATTAACTGAATTAACGGGTATTGTAGATACTGACATCATAGACCTTTTACAGAGAAGAGCGAGAACAATTCTTACTGTCACCCTTAAGACTTTTCTTGTCTTATTAAACATCAGATTTTGCACCGGGAGTTAAGAGGAAAACTATAATCATAATTAATAAACATATTACATTAAATAGACCTTAAAAAATATATTCTGAATCAAATAAATAATCTAAAATCAAGTAAATCTAGATGATTGTGATTTAGAATTTTTTTTAATAAAAATGTTTTTGGGAGGATGTTCTTGAATTTATTTTTTTTTTTAATGAAAATAACTCACATTGAAATTATCTATAAATAGTCATTCTTTATGGGCCATCAGCACTCTATGAGTGATATGTAAGTTTCAGATGCAGCTCAGCCGCTGACAGATTGTATGACAGCGTGTGAATGTGATTTCATACTCGTGTTTGGTGTGAATTGTTATGTCACAGAAAAGATGCTCACGTTGTTCCCCTCTCCTGACATTCTCAACAGGGATTGGATGAGCGCTCGCGACAACCAACCAGCTCGCTGTCCACGACTCCCTAAAATGCAACTCAGCCAGTGATCACGCTGTGAGGGGCCTCGACAGCTCCGGGCCCGCACCTCCATACGGACCTCGCAGCCGGAGCATGAGCGTGGGCAGGATCAACCGCTACAGCATTGTGTCGTCTGAGGAAGAGGGCCTCCGCCTCACTACCATGCATGGTATGAACGGCTTTGGCAATGGCAAGATCCACACGCGCCGCAAGTGCCGCAACCGCTTCGTCAAAAAGAACGGCCAGTGCAACGTGCAGTTTTCCAACATGGAGGACAAGTCGCAGCGCTACATGGCCGACATCTTCACGACGTGTGTGGATATTCGGTGGCGGTGGATGCTGTTGGTCTTCACCCTTGTGTTCGTTATCTCCTGGCTGCTCTTCGGCTTGGCCTTTTGGCTCATCGCTTTGCTGCATGGAGATCTGGATAACCCCGCCGGAGACGATAACTTCACTCCTTGCGTCCTCCAGGTCAACGGATTTGTGGCGGCGTTTCTATTCTCCATTGAGACACAGTCGACCATAGGTTACGGCTATCGCTGTGTGACTGAAGAGTGCCCGGTGGCTGTCTTCATGGTGGTCTTCCAGTCCATAGTGGGATGCATCATTGACTGCTTTATGATTGGCGCCATCATGGCCAAGATGGCGAGGCCTAAGAAGCGAGCACAAACGCTGTTGTTCAGCCACAATGCTGTCATTGCCATGCGGGATGGAAAGCTGTGCTTAATGTGGCGGGTGGGGAACCTGCGCAAGAGCCACATCGTAGAGGCCCACGTGAGGGCACAGCTCATCAAACCTCGGATCACCGACGAGGGGGAATACATCCCACTAGACCAGATAGACATTAATGTGGGCTTCGACAAAGGTCTGGACAGGATCTTCTTGGTTTCGCCCATCACCATTCTCCATGAGATAGATGTGCAGAGCCCCCTGTTTGGGATCGGAAAACAGGATCTGGAGACAGCAGACTTTGAGATCGTCGTCATCTTGGAGGGGATGGTTGAAGCGACCGCCATGACCACGCAAGCTCGCAGCTCCTACTTGGCCTCTGAGGTCCTTTGGGGTCACCGTTTCGAGCCGGTCTTGTTTGAGGAGAAGAACCTGTACAAGGTGGATTATTCTCACTTTCACAAAACCTACGAGGTGCCGTCCACCCCCCGCTGCAGTGCCAAGGACATGGTTGAGAACAAGTACTTAGTCCCAAGCTCTAACGCTTTCTGCTACGAAAATGAGCTGGCCTTCCTCAGTCGCGATGATGGCGAGGAGGACGTAGGCGGTGGTAGCAGGGTCCTGGCGAACCTCAGTCCAGACAGGAACAGCCGACATGAGTTTGAGCGCTTACAGGCACCAAGGGCGGTGGATCAAAGGTCATATCGTCGAGAGTCGGAAATATGACCTCGAACCATTGACCCTGGATCAACTTTCGGGCGGTGGATAAAAGGTCATATTGTCGAGAGTCGGAAATATGACCTCGAACCATTGACCCTGGATCAACTTTCAATAGCTGTATCCAAGTGTGAAATGCTGAACAATGCAAAGTGCCATAGGAAACGTTGACTGCTGGGGAACAGTAAGATGGAGTGGAAGAACTGGGGGGGAAGCAAGAGTACACAACTTAGAAAATTGTGGTAAGGAATGTGTAAAATCAAGGAAAAGGCAAAGGAAAGACCTTTTTCCTGAACGGAAACTTGAATCTTTTTTCACGTGCTCATTTTGAGTTAAGAGTGTTCAACGATAGTGCATCAAAGCCTATGACAGAACCTTATAATCAAAGTGTAGGTGTAAATACATTGCTTAGGTAAGTTATGTTTTGTGTGCAGTATCAGTTTCCTCCCCGCAAAAGAACAGATGTTGTTATTTCAACTTCAATTTTTGGGCCCGAAGGAGTGACAAGGCCTCGCTTGAGCTCCCCTCGCATTGCTGCAACGCACCGGACCTGCGTTCACTGACACATTTAAAACGCAATGAGTCGAGATTAAACATCGGACAGTGAGCCATGAGAACAATTCAGCACTTCCATTCATGTATTGGTGTGATCCCAAACCTACCATTGTAGGCTAAATTGATGGACCCATGAAGAACATAAGGATGTATGCAATTGAATGAAGCTTCACTCTGATTATAATCACTTCATGCCTCATATTTTGACCGTATTTTTAAAAACAAACATCTTAAATGGCCAACACATGTTGAGTCATGTGGAAAGATTGAGGAGTAGTCAGGTAAAACAAAACTAAAGCACAAATGGAGGACAACTGTTTTGGAGTTCTTTCAATGACCATGTCTGGAGGATACAGGTTGCAATACCCACGTTTCAATTAAATAAATAACAATAGTAAATAGCAGCAATTTGTAGAGAGAAAGAGATGCACCTTAAAAAGTTCAAATCAAACCTTTATAGTGACAGTCAGCAACAGGTTTTTCCAATTCAGACTGTAACAAAACTGGCCTGAATTGTTGAAACTTAATGTTTTTGTCGTTTTAAAAATAAATCTATGCATATTGTTAAAAGTATCAGGGGAGAAAATCCTATTTCTGTTTGAGTAAACCATGTCACGACATTGCTTTTATTAATCCTCAGTGCTCAGCGTGAAGAAGAGACTCAAATGTATAGATTGAATTTCTAAAAGTAGCCGTTGCGTTTATCACTCAATCATTCGTCTATTTTAATTGAATTGAACTGAAAGTCAAAATTGTATTTATCGTTAAACTTTTACAACGTTCACAGCAAGAAGAAAGAGAACCAAGAAATGAGACCAAACGCCCCAATTCACAGTAGCCGGCCCCACGGCTCTCCTTCATTTTGCATCATAAGTGGGTGAACAAACTGTTCTTTATGTTAATAATAAAAGAGTCAGCCTCTGTTTGAAACTAGTCCTAGTTTATAGATAATACTTATATGACAAATGTATGCTTTTACAACAAAAATGAATTGTGTGTAAGACTAAAAACCTGCTATCCCCCCCCTCTGCTGTGTGAACAGATTTACAGCAGCAGCAGAAGGAAGAGAAAATAGCTCCTTGTGTTGACTCCTTCTTATAAACATCACATGTTGCAAATGCATATTTAGCAATAGACTAATGCAATGAGTCAATACACAGGACCAAGGTCGGATGGAAGCAATAACAACTAAAGCACATCTTTCTGAATTCATTTTAGTCGGCTTATCCTTAATGATTCTCTTGCACTGAACGTGCATATTTATAATTCTGGATCCAGAGATTACGAGAGAAAGGCCCGTGCGAGGAGAATGACCCGAAGTTCCTTGGTTTATTGTACTTGTATGCTTGTGAGTTCTCAGATATCATACCAAAGTAATGACTGTAGCTCAGACTTATGTTTTGAAGTGATTGTTCCCGACTTAATCTTCCAAAGAATTGTTTAACGGATCTTGAAAAAAGATAATCATACTCGAAAAAAAGGTTTGCAAATGAGATTCATGTTATTCCTAAAAAACAACCACAATTAAACAAAATCCCTGTTTGACTAAGCGTTAAACCAAATAAAGTAAATAGGTTAAGTTGTGGTTACAGATTCAATCTAGCAGTGTAAGAGACAATGCATGATCACTTTTTCTTTTGGCATGAACAATAGCGTTAAAAAATATCTCTTGTTTTAGATACATAGTTAGAATGTCACACTCAGACCTAAACATGTTAATATTTGTACCACAACATACTGTTAATCAAGTCCAGGTGATCCATTACCTCACTAAAAGGCGGACGTTGTGTCCCTGTGGGTGCATTTTAGTTACATTTCATTCATAAGAGATTACACGCGTGTTAAGAAAGAAGCCTACAGGATATGGTGGAAACGTACAACACGAGCACATAGAAGAGAACCATAAAATGGTCGTTATGTTGGTCACAATGACTAATATTTTCCTAATAGTCTTTTGACTCAGTGTATGATATTTCTAGGTTACATGTTGCTTTTTAGAACTATGTGGGATGTAGTCAAATATACAGAGCATTTTTTGGCAAATAAGTGAAGCGTTCTTTACCCGGCCCAAAATATTTATTGCTTATTACCTTCTGGGAAGGTTCTATACACGGATGTGTGAAGCCTCTGCACCAACTCACTGGCAAATAAAGGGTGAAGCATTTCTACTCAATGATTTTTTTTGCAGATTGTTTCAGCTTTGTTGATGCTCACCTGGGCCGTTAAAAAAGAAGCACACACAATAGTTTCAGCTAAACATAAAGATTTATAGTGTAAAAAGAAAAGTAATATTAAAGTATAATAGGGAAGCAGGAGGCTTAACAACCCGCTTATTTTTATACAAAGTTCTTTTTGATAGAATACGGCAATCAATATTTATCTGTTTTACTACAATGAAATCACTTATTAGAGGCAAAAATATGATTCTTGTCTCACTTTTCAATGATTTGATGTCTGTTGTTTCATTTCAGCACAGATCCTCATGATTTAACAGGTATTTCTCTTAAAGGGATGATTGGAAAAAAGCTTTTGACCTCTGTAGAAGTCTTCCTATGTCCAGCAAATTGTCTACTGGGCTTTTGATTTTAACTCAAAGTCATTTAAATTATTAAATTAAAAACTAACTGTGAAAAAAGGTTGTTTTCCTCTTTTTTTTTTTGTCTGGTGAGTGGTCCACCAGTCCCGGGCTGCATTGAAATGCAATATCATCTTAATTGGGGGATCACTGCGACAAACAACCAAAAAAGACACTGAAGTGGACGAGTGGCCTGCAGCGGACTTTTTCAGATCAATGTCTCACTTTTCGTGTGTTTAACGCCTCCACTGTCAAAGACTCGTATCTCCAACAGGTCCTGCATTATTACGCAGGTTCTGGTTTCATGTGGAGGACACCCATCGTTAACTCTGCGTTCAAGCATCCTTTGGGTTGATGAATATGCTCCCAGCCGTCATCTGAGGCTCGGAACACCTGTTTCCCCAATATACCGCATATGGCTAAAACAAAACAGTGTACTTTTTTCGCCCATCCAGCTGACCTCCTTCGCCCTTTGTGTTTCCGTCTCCATGCTGCAATCAGTACTCTCTGATCGTCTAATTATGAAGCGCAGGGATTCACGCTGTAGTTACAGTCAGACAAAGCGTTGGCATGCGACAACCTGACAGAAGAGGAAAGGAACGAGGTATCCGCGCGTGCTCCTAAGACGACGTCATCGGTGATGAGTAATCCTTTGCACGGGATCTGTGGCCGTCAGTTCTTTCTAAATAATTCAGGTGGGGGCTGTTTAAATCAGCCAGCGAGCGACAGATGTGGGATTAAAACGCTGGCCGCCGGTAGTGCTGAGCTCAGGCATCTCGGCACCGACTGACACGGGGATCATAGAAGCGATGCTGGAAGCCTTTGCCGGCACGGCCAGTGTGTATTAGGCTTTTTGTGGCCGGGTGTCACACACATAAAGTGACACCCAGGGAAGCTCTCAGCATTAGTGTTGGGCCGTGTTAATCAGTGCCAAATGCAGAAGGGCATTTTCATTCGACTTTTCATTAGTGTCACATTCTCTGGGACTCTGGGAATTTGACTTCACCCGGAAAGTGAGCCTTCTTCTGATTGCTCTGATGTCAAGTCGGTGTACCGTCAAAGCAGCCTGAGATGCCACGAGGTCCTGGACAATTAAGGGCATGTCTGGAAAAACTGTGGGCTGCTGTTGAATCTTAAAGAACATTTCATTCAGAAGGGATGCGTGGTTTATTGGGACAGGCGATCTATGAGTGCAGGTAGTATTGTTGGTTATCTGACAAGAAGCAGCACGTGAAGCTGGGGATACATGTCTCAGCCTCTCGGTCCATCAGCACCGGTTCTCCCCAAGCCTGCGTTCTTTCCCCTCTGCTCTTCTCCCTGTACACCAACAGCTACACCTCCAGTCACCAGTCCGTCAAGCTCCTGAAGTTTGTGGATGACACCACCTGTAGTCCGCCTACAGGTGGGAGTCTGACCATCTGGTGTCGTGGTGCAGCCAGAACAACCTGGAGCTCAACGCTCTAAAGACAGTGGAGATGGTTGTGGATTTCAGGAGGAACAGAGCCCCACCTTCCCCCATCACCCTGTGTGACTCCCCCGTCACCGTGGATTCCTTCCGTTTCCTGGGCTCCATCATCACCCAGGACCTCAAGTGGGAGCTGAACATCAGCTCCATCACCAAGAAGGCTCAGCAGAGGTTGTTCTTCCTGAGGCAGCTGAAGAAATTCAACCTGCCAAAGACGATGATGGTCCACTTCTACACGGCCATCATGGAGTCCATCCTCTGCTCCTCCATCACCGTCTGGTACGCTGCAGCCACAGCCAAGGACGAGGGCAGGCTGCAGCGTGTCATCCGCTCTGCAGAGAGGGTGATCGGCTGCAATCTGCAGTCTCTTATTTTGGCAAGAAATAAAAGTAGTGTGCAGCTCAGGAACCAACCAGACCCAAATTTTAACAGACGGATATTTTGTCTAAATTACGCAACCGCAAGTTGAGACAGAGGATCCCTGGGGAATGCCCCCCCCTGTGACCCCCAGGGAACAGTTGACTAGGCCAGCTGGGGCCCTGACTCACACTTTCATCAGCATGATGTAAAACAAAAGGCTTCACACGTACAGAAGACTTTGGGAGACAATTGAAGGAGTATGAAAGTATGAAAGGAGGCAGCACGTAGACTCGACAGGCTGCCAGCCAGCCGGCCCATATAGCCCATAGTTATAATTAATACTGGAGCAAACTCCCTGTGGCCTGAACTCTTGACGACAGTCAAATGAGGGGAAATCATGTTGAAGGGGCTAAATAAAGCTCTTCCGTGTCAAGCCGCATGTGGCTCTCTGGCTACAATTCACGGCCTAAAGTTAAATCCTGCGATACTATGACTCAATCAAAGATGCGTACTGGAGGACTTGATTATCATAAGGACACCTTTTCTGCTTGGAAAATATGATCTACTGCACAGGAATTCATAAATAAGCTCATCCTGCAATGTTAAAATTAGAGCACAAACCTGAATCTACTTCAGTTTGAATCAAATATCATGTAATTATATCTTACACAATCTATGTACTATTGAAATATCACTTAGAGGTCACCAAAAGCATATAATATAATCAGATAAAAAACTCCAGTGTTATATCTTTATGTACGCAGGAGATGTGTGCTAAACTTTCAAATGTGACATCTTTAATAGTTTAAAATAAACATGCGTAACACATGGTTCTGTAAGAGGAGATTAATTGATGGTCCATACTGATGGATAAATGAACTTCCATAAAGAGATGGCGACTTTGCGTTGTGCCAAACACATCACAAGTGTCTGGGAAGTGTGATGGGATTTTATCCAGTAACTGAGACATGTTTTGTTGCTTAAATGAAAGAGACACAACGGTCCTTCTGCCCACGCTCGTCCTCCCGTCGATGAGCCAAGAGCTCACTGCGTTGTCCTTTATCGGTCAGCACAGCCCGAGGACACATCAAGAGCACGGACGCGGCTTTCAAAAACACGCAGGGCTACCGCCAGCTGATGACGTCATCCGATCACTTGGGCTTATAATCATTGGGCTCTTATAGAGCAGATATGCTGATATGTCACAGGGGTAAATAATGACAGTGCTAAAACGACATGAGAAGGAAAGACAGCTAAAATTTTGTGAGAGACCAGCTCGTAACTGCCAGAGTTCTAAGTACCCAGCTGGGCTGTCTTTCAAAAATACTTTGTCCCACACAGGTGTCTCCACTTGGCTAATTAGTCCTCTATGCGCCCTGTAAAGTACACGTGATGTCACAGGAAAGTGAGAGATGTCAATCACGCATGTCTGAAGAAGGTGTGCTGAAAAGAGATCCAATTAGCCAAATAATAAATTGGTAACACCTGTGTGGGTTCGCCAGCGTTGTATAGTTTTTTTCTTACGGCCTGTCCAACGTGTAACGAGTGACGACAGGCTGCCGTTTGGGGCGCTGACCTGAGAAAAGGGGCCGTGTGCAGCATTAAGCGCGGTGGCACATTATGCGCCTCGTCTTCTCCCGGTTACAGCAGGGAGCCACTAGTCTACGCTGATTCATGAAGCAACATCTATGCACAACCTGAGGGGACGTAAAGGGGCAACTCTCATTTCCTGCCTCTCAACCCAGGGTAATTACCGATGTGTGCCCAAAGGCCCTGTGAGCTTGAGCGAAAGGGAGAAAGAAGGAGCAAAATCGTTACGTTTTAAAAGTTATGTATGTTACAGGTTTCCTGTGACATAAATATAGTTCTACAACAAGTCAGTGACACGTGCCATTAAATATTAGTTCTATTGACTTCTAATATTGCGTGAAGATTATCCTCTATTGCACCTGTGCCACATGCAGGCGGTGGTTTAATTGGTCTTCATTTACCTCGATGGATTCAATAGTTTGCGCAAAAATAAATATAATCCACGTCGCTGCAGTGTAATTATAAGGTGCTGAAGGTTGAACGTAGAAGCTGTTCAGCCCAGTACAATGAAGCAAAACACCTATAAAATTGGTTCGAGAAACTGACGACCAGCTCATCGATTACACGAAAAAACCACAACAACAAAGCGCGTTATGAACAGTATCTTTGTTCATTCAAACAAGTTTTTAACAAAAGTATTCAGCGCTGGGTGATTTGGGGGGAGTGTTTAATACCACACTCACTGAATTCCATTAAGCTGTACTGTATTGGAGTAAGCCACAGCCAACAACCTCAGACTTAACAAAAAAAACACACAGTAACTAAGAAGACAAATAAAAGTGGGCAAAATGGTCTCCGTCCCAGCAGTGAGGTCATGAGAAGAGACACAGAGCTGCGACTACAGTCTCTCTGGTGTCCCCAGGGGTGGACTCGAATCTGTCAGCACCCTTTCTCTAATGCGGCTCTCCGTGAATGGCACCCGGTAAAAGGTGCTTCTCCCCAAATACGGCCACACACACACACACACACACACACGGCCCGCGGCCTCTTCCTCCCCAGCCTACCTGCACGATGTCAGTAAGCATGGATCATCTCTCGCCTGGCTGGCATCTCTCTGTCCCAGGGCACACACACCTCGCTCAGGCCAGAGCGTCTCCGGTGTCAGGCAGAATGAGGGTCTTTGTTAGGACCGACTCGATGCGGGACCTTCGCCCCGCAGAAGTTGGTCGGATAAGGAGAACAGGATCCCCTTGAGCCTGACGAAGAAATGACTGCAGAAGTGGAAACGGGGACAGTTGGGAAATAATTGCCGACCATGCTCGCTTGAGTAGATGCTTTTAAATTAAAAACACTTTCTATTCTATTTGAATCTAAATTGTTATTGTACGGTCTTCTTTTGGGGAATTCCGTTGATACCAAGGGTATCAAAAACTTTGAATTTGGACTTGGTCTCACATAAAACATTCTACTTTGGCTGGTATGTCTAGGGTCTAAAATGTTTTTTTTTCTATTTCTTTTTTTTTTGCTTTTCATTCCATCTCTAGTTTGTGACATAATAGACAAAAAAAAAACTGTTGAAAAACAGTGAACTGACACCCAAAAAAAGATGAAACTGCAGTGATTCACACAACTGAATGGGATGGTTACATAAACCAACAAAGCATTTAATTGTGCACCATGGAAGAGATAATTAATATTTGAAATAACTTAGCGATACCTAATTCACCCCAACTGTACAGTAATATGACGTTACGGAACTTTTGAATACTGTACGTTGAATTGTCTGAGTAGATGTGGGGGTGATTCAGCAAAATGAACGACCGGTTAGCTTAATGGCTAACTGTTTAATTTATCCAGCGTTAGCGTTAATCTCATTTTACGATGGATAACTTTACGTGACTGGTTTAATTAATTTGTAATCTCTTCTCCAGTTGGTCGTTTATGTGTTTTTTAACCACCGGGTTTACAGCAGGATTTAATTTGACTTACCTCCCCACTGCCTTTGCAAAGCGCGACATCTTGTGACGCAGTCGCGTAATTACTCCCGCCCCGCTTTGGCCAATCAGCGACAAGAACACTTAGACGTCAAAGGATTAACCAATGAGCGCATACGTAGTTTTCAGCAAAAATGGCGTACTATGTATTGTGAGGTGGGGAAGCTATAAACAAATATATTTTATGGTCTGAAAAACTAAAACAGTCAGGTAAGCACTAACGGTGGTAATTGCACATTGGCTCCGGGTTTTGTCCCATTTACGTGGCATGCATTGTTTTTGTACACATCAATACAATTGTGTCTTAGATCAGTAGTTAATGCTAATAAATGACAACGGCAGCTAACGGCTAACGCTAGCCTGCCATATTATGTTCAACCCACTTTAATTGAGTTTTATTACAAATACAAGTTTACTGCACAAATGCTTTTGTAGCTGTGCGGGTTTTTTTTAGAAATCTATTCATATGGTATGAATATATGCTCGTTTCTACCAGGATGAAGGTGGTGAATCTGAAGCAAGCCATTCTACAGGCTTGGAAAGAACGATGGAGCGACTACCAGTGGGCCATTAACATCAAGAAGAACTTCCCAAAGGGAGCAACGTGGGACTATCTCAACCTTGCAGGTTAGATGACAGACGCTGACCATCACGGCGATAATTTCCCTCCATACCAGTGATCGTATTGTCTTTTCTAAATTGCGTTTATGTCTTCCAGAAGCCCTGATGGAGCAGGCAATGATCGGCCCCTCTCCCAACCCTCTTATTTTGTCTTATCTCAAATATGCTATAAGTTCTCAGGTGAGAGAAAAAGCGGTGTGCTCAAAAATGGTGTAACTGCGAGGTGTTGAAACAGCGGTGATAGTATTACGCACATTGTGAACGTTCTCTCTCCTTAGATGGTGTCTTATTCCAGTGTGCTTACAGCTCTCAGCAAGGTGATGTATACTTATGTAAAATGATTGCACAATGCAGTTTATTATAACATATGAGAGGTTTCCATGACGTCCCTTTTTTTCCGATAGTTTGATGACTTTTCTCGGGAGCTGTGTGTAAAATCACTGCTGGAGATCATGGACATGTTTTGCCATCGTCTCAGGTATGTCAATATTACAGTGCATTCTCCATCCCGCGTAACAACGGTAACGTTTTACGCCTGGTTTGAATGAAGAAAGCAGATTTGGCCATTTCCGTAATGATCTATTTTACCTAATGTTATATATTTGTTACACAACTGCTTGACGTGAAGCTGTCACGGGAAGGCGGAGGAATGCATCGGGCTGTGTCGGGCTCTGCTCGGGGTGGTAGTGTGGCTGCTGCAGGGCTGTGCCTGGTACTGCGAGAAGCTCGGAGAACTCGGCCCATCAGCCGGCACGGAGGCCAGTCTGAGAGCCTGCCAGGAGAGGCTTCAACATTTGATGAACAGTTCCAAGAACAGAGCCCTGGTCCACATCGCCCGGTTGGAGGACCAAGGCGGTACGGTGTTCTGTGTGTCCGTGTGTTCATTGGTTTACGTAAGATACATTTGAACATTCATACTATATCAATTGTTGATGCCGGCAAGTTGGTTGTTAGAAGACGCTACCGGTCCTGAAACCTTCTGGTTGTATAATTGTCGTGTCAGACATCTTACTGTGTTGCTACTGCTACTTCTTCACAGGTTCCTGGAGCAACGTAGAGCAGTCGGTGCTGAAAGTAACCGATGGTCTTGGCAGTGTGTCAAACCAGACACTGAGAACAAAATTAGAGGAGAGCTTGTCGCTAGTAAAAGGGTGAATTTCCTCCCTCTTTCCCTACACTTTGAATACATGGTTTAACTTTGGCGTGAGGCTGCCCGGCTTGGTCGTGGCAGGTTATTCATTTAAAGTACATCACAAATAATCTTTGTCATGCTAACTCTTCCCTTTCTTCCTCAGTATTCCCATGATGCTGTCCGAGCAGAGCGACCCAAAGTTCCATGCCTCCTTTCCATCCGTCCACGCCTTCATCATGCTGGAGGGGACCATGAATCTGACCGGGGAGACGCAGCCACTGGTGGAGCAGCTGATGATGATCAAGAGAATGCAGGTGGACATTTACAGAAGAAAAAAAATGCATCCATACAGTTCAACTTTCTCTAGAACGAGAGTTTGTTTCTTTTAATCGTTGAGACAGTTATTATTTTTACAGATTAAAGATTTCAGGCACGGTTCATAATCATACTTCTGCATTGTTTGTATGTAGTTTGTTATTTCAGCAGCAATCCTCCTTAAATTCTTTGTCTTCCACAGCGAATCCCTGTGCCTCTTTTTGTCTTGGAGATCTGGAAGGCCTGCTTCACTGGGCTCATCGAGTCACCAGAGGGCACCGAGGAGCTCAAATGGACCGCTTTCACATTTCTCAAGGTACGTTCATCTGCTTGTGATCTGCATCTTTTTCCTTAAATTGATTTCAAATTCAATACTGATGCGCTGATTACCACTCTCCAGTCTTAAATAGACTAAATGAATTGAGTTGATCTTTACATGCAGTATCAATTTAGTTTATATGGTAAACTGATAATCAGATGTGATCATTTATGTCACATTATGTGATCGATGTGATCACATACGTGTTCCGCCAAGCTAAAAAAGGTTAATTTCTTGTTTCTTTATATCAGATCCCTCAAGTTCTTCTGCGACTAAAGAAGTATCCTCAGAGTGACAAAGGACAAGTACGAGATGCACTGATGTCTTTCTAACAAATTATAAATCGCAATAACTGTCCATTTTAAAAGGAAACTTTTCAAAACACAGCAAACTTATCTTCCAGGACTTCATGGACGACGTGAATATTGCATTTCAGTATTTACTCAAACTCACACCGTTACTGGACAAAGCGGATCAGAGATGCAAGTAAGTGCTCAAAAATGCAGCCACCCCACCCATCTCCTCCCCACCCCTGTAATCTAATTTTAAGATATTGGAGATAAGAACGCTAAGTTCCTGTTAAGCCGGCACTGTCATAGATCTCTTGTGCTTCTTCTCCTAGTTGCGACTGCCTTGGCATGCTGCTTCAGGAGTGTAACAAGCTCGGTCTGCTGTCCGATTCCAACACAACCTGCCTCACCTCCAAACGGTACGACTCCCATCTCACAATCAACCCGCGCGTCTTCATGGAAATGACAATCTAGTGTTGTTGTTTTTTTTTTTTCTTTCTTTATTTTCTATTCCCATTAACTATTTTAGTCAATGGGATCATGGATGAAGCTCAGTTCCCCGTACTCACACAATCCAAACCCCTGCATCCCCCGTCTGTCTCGCCTCGTCCCCTTTCCTTCCTGTCCCTCTCCCGCTGCACCTTTTGATTCAGGACGGATGACAGGGAGTTTGCCCCGAGGTTAAAGACTGCAGAAAATGCAAACATCCAGCCGAACCCGGGCCTCATCCTGCGAGCTGAGCCCACCGTCACTAATATTCTAAAGGTAGAGCACATGACACGTTGATGGGAAGGAAATGGGTGAGCGTGTCGGTGTGAGAAGGTCGCTTATCAATGAAATGCTAAGAGGAAAAAAAACAGTTGACGTGAATACAGGGGGCTCGCAGACTTCAAGGAATCGCCGACGTAAAAGTAACACGTTAGCATAACTCTTACTCTCTGGTTCATTAGACAGTAGATGCAGATCACTCCAAGTCGCCCGAAGGCCTTCTGGGGGTCCTGGGACACATGTTGTCTGGAAAAAGCCTAGATCTGCTCCTGGCAGCAGCCGCGGCCACTGGGAAGCTCAAATCCTTTGCCCGGAAGTTCATCAAGTGAGTCAATGTGAAATAGAGCTGCATGGTTGGACAAATATTCCCCTTAGTCACCAGAACGCTGAGTTATTTATTGACTCCTACTTATTATCAGACATATTTTAAGGCTGGAAACTTGGAAGTGGTTCTAGGACAGGATGTTTTTACATCTTTTTAAGGTATTGTTTGCTTTTTCCCATTTTTGTTCCAGGCTTAACGAGTTTCCGAAGCACATCAGCGGCGAAGGATGTGAGTTGAAAAACGAGCGCAACATGTTCCGATGTGGGAGTTTCTCTCCCCGTTGACGCATCGGTGATTAAAGTAGATGCTTACATTGAGGATTCTGTTCCCTCTTCAGCCAAGTCGGCGTCGGTACGGGCGCTCCTCTTCGACATCTCCTTCCTCATGCTCTGCCATGTGGTGCAGACATACGGTTCGGAGGTTAGTCAATGAAAGCTTGACTGCAAAACGCAGTGTAATGATGTTAGCGGGTATTGATCCTGCGTGGAGTTTCCCCCGAATCAGCCTGTTCGCTCACGGTGATGAAACGAGACGGCCTTGGGGGGCGTGACCTGAACGGAATGTTGCGGGTGTGATTAGATCTATTGTCGTCCGGCCGCTTTGACCCGTTGAGCGTGAGCGGATCCGTAAAGCACGCGGCTGCCCCGCGTCTCTCCTCTCCAGGTGATCCTGTCAGACCCCAGCCCTTCGGGGGAGACGCCCTTCTTCGAGACATGGCTGCAGACGTGTATGCCTGAGGATGGCAAGACTCTGAACCCAGACCACCCCTGCTTCAGACCGGAGCCCGGCAAAGTGGAGAGCCTGGTCACCCTGCTGAACAACTCGTCGGAGATGAAGCTAGTGTACGTTGCTGGCCCTTCAATGTCAACCACACAATTTACCCAACCAATTTTGCCAAAGAATACCTGAATAAAGTAGTTTTCCCACTTTAAACTCCATATGTTTGCAAGCCGGGCGGCACGGTGGCGTGGTGGTTAGCACTGTTCCTCCACCTCACAGCACGAATGTCCTGGGTTCGATTCCGCCCGGTGGCCTTTCTGTGTGGAGTCTGCATGTTCTCCCCCCGTCTGCGTGGGTTCTCTCCGGGTTCTCCGGCTTCCTCCCACAGTCCAGAGACATGCTCTGGGGATCAGGTTAATTGGGGACTTTAAATTGCCCGTAGATGTGTGACTGTGAGTGTGAATGGTTGTGTGTCTCTGTGTAGCCCTGCGATTGGCTGGCGACCAATCCAGAATGTACCCTGTCTATCGCCCGAAGTTGGCTGGGATGGACTCCAGCCCCCCCCGCGACCCTGTGTGCAGGATAAGCGGTTTGACAATGGATGGATGGATGGATTGAACATTTCAGCACCTTTGCAAATATTGATCCTAGACTAATATTGACTTGCAGAGTACATTCATTTTTTTATTGAATGCTGTATAGATGGATGAACTTCCTTTGACCTTTTTTTTTTAATCTACCGTCAGTCAGGTGAAATGGCATGAGATCTGCCTCAGCACGCCGGCAGCCATCTTGGAGGTTCTGAACGCGTGGGAGAACGGCGTCCTCTCTGTGGAGGCCGTGCAGGTCCGTTCAACTTCAATGCTCTCTTTTTTTTTCCGTTTCTTCTTCTTGCCCCTCCTTTGACTGGAAAAGTATTTCCTGAGCATGCGTGAGGGTCAGGTGCTCCCATGATGATCAGAGCAGTACCAGTACTCGTCACTCCACTCATTCTGTGGAATTTTCCTAGTGACAGTGAAATGACATCCTCTTTTTTTTTTTTTTTTTTTTTTTTTTTTTTTCCTACTTCATTCAAGTTTTCATGTTACTTGGAAGCCGTTCTCACTGTGCCCTCACTCTGTCCCCTTCCTTCCCCTTTTTTCTTGCCACGTCATCTCGCTCTCTCTCTCTCTCTCTGTGTGTGTGTGTGTGTGTGTGTGTGTGTGTGTGTGTGTGTGTGTGTGTGTGTGTGTGTGTGTGTGTGTGTGTGTGTGTGTGTGTGTGTGTGCGCAGAAGATAACGGACAACATCAAGGGGAAGGTGTGCAGCATGGCCATCTGTGCGGTGGCCTGGCTGGTGGCCCACGTCAGGATGCTGGGGAGGGATGAGCGGGAGAAGCCCCAGACGATGATCCGGCAGCTCGTGACGCCGCTGTACGGGGAGAACACGCTGCAGTTTTACAACGAACGGTACACAAAAAAAACCCGGCCGAAGCACAAACTCCACCTTCGCTCATCTTATGCCCCGATGTCGGCCTCTCTCGCAGACCTTTTCTGTAATACAGGGTTAAAAAACGCTATCCTCTCTCCCCAGCGTGATCATAATGAGCTCCATCATGGAGCACATGTGTGCCGACGTCTTCCAACAAACCGCCGCCACCCTGCGGCCCCCGATGGAGGGCCAGGAGCCGATCCCCTACCGCAACCTGCTGCCGGCCAAAGACCCCATCCACGTGGCCCTCAGCAAGCAGTTCCAGACGGTGCTGCGCAAAGGCTGGGCGGACAGCCGGGCCCTGCACCTGTTTGAGAGTCTCCTCAACATGGGGGGGGTCTTCTGGTTCACCAACAATTTGGTCAAGGTGAGGGCACCAAAACGGAGCAAACACCAGCAAAACTGGCTGCATTCAAAGGCTGCAGCGAACAATCGCTTTCATTGTTAGTCCGCGTATGTCAAATGTCCTACAATACGACGCAGTGCAGAGCAGGGAACACATTTTAGAACCGAAGCCTCTGAATATTTGTTAAATTTGCTTGAAAATAGAAACGACACTAAATTATAAATCATAAACTCCAGATCGTAGCCTCTTTTTTTTAATATATATATATATATCTATTTGCACATGCATCGTGTTTTAGGAGCTGCTGAAGGAGACTCGCCAGGAGTGGGCCGATCGCGTCTCGGAGCTTCTCTACAGCATCTTCTGCCTGGACACTCAGCAGATCAGCCTCACGCTGCTGGGCACCATACTGCCCGACCTGCTCACAGACTCCGCCCACTGGCACGGCCTGGCTGACCCACCTGGAAAGGCGCTGGCCAAGTAAGAGGAGCTCAGTGGCGGCGGCGGCGGCGGGTTGTCGGGGGCGGTTGAGGTCGGCCGTTGACCTTTTCTCTCTGGGTGACTCCTCAGGTTGTCCGTGTGGTGCGCACTCAGCTCCTTCTCCTCGCACAACAGAGGCTCGTTCTCGGCTCGCCAGCGCAAAAGGCAGCGGGAAGACATCGAGGTAGGACCGCCACAGAGGGCCATGTTTGGGTTGTGTAGTATCTAGAAAGTTATTTTGTTGAAATATGTCAATACTGTGGTCAAATTCCTTTATAAGTGTCTACATATTGGACTTGTATTACAATGCAGTCTGGTGTATCTATCATTGCCTGCAGGACTACAACAGCCTGTTTCCATTGGATGACACTCAGCCGTCTAAACTCATGCGTCTGCTCAGCTCCAACGAGGACGAGCCCGCTGCCCTTTCCAGTCCGGGTCAGTCTATTAATGTCGGGGCTTTAATACTCGGTTGAATAGTGTTGCCTGGCACTCATTTCTGCATGTGTGTGTGAGCTGAGGATTACCAGAAATACCAGCCGGGTTTCAAGATAGAAAAGGTGAATGCGGCGGGGGTACCATAGAAGTAGTTTCACCCGCACAATTCGGATCAGGTCAAGCTCCTCAAAAATGTCTTGTTTCATCACCGTTTTTTCTTCAGGGTGTTTCGGCCGAAACTCCAGGCAGGATCAATACCCGCTAATATCATTAGGGTGAAATTGGCAGGCAAGCTTTCATGGTCCAACCTCCGAACCGTAGATCTGCACCACATGGCAGAGAATTTTGATTTAAACCTCGAAGAAGATCCCCCGTGGGGGGGGGGGGGGGGGGGGGTCAAAGATCGATGTGCTGCATGACTTGGAAAAAACGTGTATGAGCGGCTTTCCTTTCGTTCCTTTAGAAAAGAAATGTCTAGACAAGTCATTTAGAAACCGATACAAGTAGTGTTTGCTAGACTGAAATGTATTTATATCTGAAGCCATAGATTATAAAAATAGCCACTTGTAATATGTACCTAGTTGGTTGTTTAATTTTGGTTTCCAATTATATTGGTTAAGAAAATGATGAAATGTAAGACGTCAGTGGAGGACTTTTGTCTTTTTTTGGTTTTAACAGTAGAAACGTCAACTTCCCTGTTTACTTTGTCTATTTTTGACACACTGAGAAAAAAAAAAAAGACTGTTGATGAAAATTTGTCTGGTCACATTTCCCAGGAGACCGATCTATGAGCAGTTCCCTCTCGGCCTCCCAGCTCCACACGGTGAACATGAGAGACCCTCTCCACCGAGTCCTGGGTGAGAACCCTCGTCCTCCCCCGGACGACGACGACGACACGTCGCCCGCCACTAACACCCAAATTGACCTCTCCCCACTTGCCCGCAGCCAACCTCTTCCTCCTCATCTCCTCCATCCTGGGCTCCAAGATGGCCGGACCCCACACCCAATTTGTGCAGAGCTTCATGGAGGAGTGCGTGGAGTGCCTGGAGCAGGGGAGCCGCGGGAGCATTCTGCAGTTCATGCCCTTTACGATGGTGAGCTACGAGGCCGACGTGCGGCTGCTGTACGTTACCGGGAAAGACTTTGTTTGTTCGGAATGGCTGAAGACACATTTTCTGAGGATTAAGTGCTTTGAGGAAGTGATAAATCTGAGTCACGCCAGCGTTCGATCCGTGTACTTGCAGCCAGTGAAGTTAAGGTGGTGTTGTTTGAGTTGGGGCTGTGGCGGTGAGGTTCCCGTTTGCAGGAGACTGCGCACAGATGGAATAACTAGTGGATTAGTTTGAACGGTCGTTGGTCTTTCTGTGCGTGCAGGTGTCCGAGCTGGTGAAGCTGCCGGCTTTGGCCAAACCGAGAGTTGTCCTGGCCATCACTGACCTGACTCTGCCGCTGGGGAGAAGAGTAGCTGCCAAAGCCATCGCCGCCTTGTAAAGTTCTCAGCCCCCCCCCCCCCCCCTCCTCCACACACTCCCCTCATTAGTTCCCCCATTTAAAGGGCTTCTTTGTTGGAAAATGACATTTTTATAACCGTCTTTCTGTAACCACTGTTTTGCTATTGTGTTTTGATTTGTTTTTCACACTTAAACGTGTAAATAAGTTTGAAAAAACTTCCTGATCCGTTTGTCTCTTCTTGCAAGTCTTCACTTCCACAGCGGGAAGTTTCCTTCACCGTGTGTGTAAGACCTTATTACTTCCGTGACGTTGGGCAGAGACCACGTGGGTTTCCACCGCCTGATGCCCCTCAGCGGTGACCGGACCTTGTGCTCATCAGGCCGTCATCCGGCGCTTGCAACACTTCCTCGGGGAGTCTGTCTTCCAGCGTGACACAAGACATTTTTTCCCTTTTTAGTTACACTTCTGCATTACCGGATTGCCTCCGCCGTGAGCTCGCTGCCGCGGTGACGCAATGCCAGCGGTTGATGGGTCACGCTTTGTCATTCACAAAAAGGAACGGTCTGTGTTTCCGGGAAATGCATTATTTTATTAAAATATCAGAAAAATATAATTCTGCAGCACAGGAACAGATTCTTGGACATATGTTTAGTTTACACAATATAACTAATTCTAATAATGGTTGATAAAGTTCATACACAACATTTTTTTAACTGATATGGAGGAAATTATACAGATATTAAATATATGTAATAAGGAATGGAACCAAAGTGACTGAGGGATACAGTTTCCTCATCATAATAAATTCCCCAAATAAATATTACATAAATAAATATATAAATATCTTTTTTCAATATAAATATAAATTACATTACAGCTCATTTAGCCGACGCTTTTATCCAAAGTGACTTACATTGCATTTCTAACCCATGGAGTTTACATTTTTGCCCGGGGGGGTCAGGTGTCTTGCTCAGGGACACTTCAACAACCTTGACTTGCGGTTCCTGGCGGTTAGGAGCAGCCGCTCTACTCCATGCGCCACGGCCGACCCCATAATCATCATAATCATTTACCGGATAAATAAATGGTGTGTTTCGGTGGTCAGCTCTCGGCCTCCTCCTCGCCGCTCCGGTCCAGACTCCTGAGGCAGCGCAGCACGTCCCGCCCGAAGCTCTGCAGCTGCCCCAGACTCAGGTGCGCCGCCACCTGGACGTCGTATTCCCCGGGGAGCCGCAGGACTACGGGCGAGGGCGAGGGCGAGGGCTGCACCGCGGCCTCCCCGTTGGCCATTTTCACCATCTGCAGGGCAACGCAAAACGAGAGACGCGTGATGAAGAGAGGGGGCGGCGGACGGGTGGAATCGTGAATGGAAGCGATCTCAAAGCGCTCTCCCACCTTATTGATCTGGATGATCAGGTCTTTGATGTCAGCCAGCAGCGCGGCCACTTTGTCTTTGTTTTGCAGCCGAGGAGAGACCGAGCGCAGCAAGGCCCGGTGCAGCTGGAGGCCCTCGGACACGTTCCTCAAAACGGCCTCCTGAGGAGGGGGGGGGATAATGACAGCGAGCTGGTCAAGGTCTCCGCTCTTTACCCGCCACACGGTCACACGTGATGGTTCTCCTGCTGGAGGCTTACCAAGGAGAAGCTTTCGGACACGACTCTGAGCACAGGAGCCGACGGGATGCCGATGTTGGACGCCATGACCGCAAGCTTGGCGTTTTGTGGGGAGTCGAGTTTTAGCGCCTGATGGAGCGAGAAAGCGGAGACGTTATGCACAAATCTCACCTGCATGCAACAGGTAGCAGACCCTAACATGCTTTAGGAAGTAGTCTGTTACATTAGGCCATGCATTCTTTTTACTTTAGACTATTTAAATTACTTGACAGTTCTGTGTGGATGAAACCTCGTATTTCATAAGATCATTACAGCCTTTACTTATTTGCTGTCCGAGTCACAGTAACAGAAAAAGTGAAGTGAAATGCAGAACACGTTGACATAAATGCAAGTACAGACAAGCGCGTAAAGGAATTCATCCGCAGCTTGGAGACCGATGCTGGTCCCCTTTTTAACAACAGCGCTCTGAGAACTTCTCCGTCACGTTCAGCCCTTTGGTTTTGTCTCATCGGCTCGTCGAACGGCCGCGTTACCTCCGCGTGGACGCACGACTCGTGCGCGTCGGGGATGGAGAGCAGGATCTTCTGCGTCAAGCTGCGGCTCCTCTGCACGACGCCCTGGAACTGCTGATCCGCGACCTGCGCGCTGCTCTCCGGCAGAGGCGCGCCGCGGGCGAAGGCGGCCATGTAGCAGGGAATGGCGAGAACTGCGCGGGGGGGGGCAGGAAAAAAATAATCAATCCAAAGAGCTGCTCCCTTGTTCCTTGTTCCTATGCACCGGTGGGCTCTCTCTCCTCAGCAGCTCGTCTGTGCTGCAGCCCCCCCGTGGTCCCCCCCCCCTTCTTCCCCCCCCCCAAAGCCCCCCCCCCCCCCCCCCCCCCCGGGCTAAATAGAGGCGTGCGTAATTTGAAACTGGAGAACAAAGTAACTACTGCCAACAGATCCAGAAATAAATATCCCGGTAACTCCTCAAAACACACCTGCGTGCTTTGCGATGCTCCCATACAGATAAAACACACGCATGTATATATATAATATTCAGTGTATGATATCTGATGGAGGAACAGTCCAACACTTGATGAGCAGCAGAAGAAGAGAAAGCAGCATTGCCTCATCATCACTACTCACCCAGCAGGATGTCCATGGCTTGTGTTGACGGATGCCTTTGAGTATTGACCCCTGAGTGGACACCATCAGTGATTTATAGAGCAGGCCCGAGTCCGAGGGATTTCCCGTTATGTGTTCATCTCAATGAGTCAGTTTGACTGTCAGCAGATTCTCTCTTACGCTTCTCTTCGGACGCTGGATTGGATAATAATGATATATGTAAGTTCACATTTTACAAAATCAATCACAAATTGATGATTCATATTTAAAAAATCTGTCAAATATTACTAGCATTTTGTTATTTTCAGATTTACCAGAATTATAAACGAACACATTTTAAATAACAGGGTGAACGTAGCTGTGCTCGTTACTTAATTACATGTTCATCTAACACGCCAAAGTAACACAATTCTAGAGTTTAACTTTAGGAATTCTGAGGTAACGCAGATCGCTTCAAGCCCAGTCAGTTGTTGAGGTCATCCAGGACCAGAATTTCCTCTGACAGCAGCTAACAGGGAAATGAAAATTGAAAGTGTAAAACACAGTTATGACATCTAGGTTCTTCAGGAGGAATCTTTTCTTCCCTCGTGTGCCGTCATCCAGCAGTTTTTTGGTCATTGTGATTCTTCTCTAAGAAACTGATTTGTTCCTATTTATATAGTTTGGAAAATCTCACAATAAAAAAATGACCACAGTTGTATTTCTGTGGCAGTAATGAAAAAATCACCTTGTTGCAGCAATTAGAAAGTCTGAGTGACAGAAAAGCGGAAAGAACTTCACAGGCCCAAGATTGCCACCTTGTGGAATAACGCCTTTTTCCTCCCTCAGTGATGTTGTGTTGGTATGAAACAGAATAAAACAACATGTCGGCTGTAATACATTTGCTTCCAGTGCTTTAAAGCACGTCAAAACACTCGTATTTGCTTTTTACCAGGAGTTCGATAAGAAAATCTCCTGATTCTTTTCAAAGGTCAAAAGGTTATTCCCAGCTTCCCACTCTTACAGGTTCTATTGTCACGTAGGGACGGGTCTGCTTACGTCGCTAACATTTAGGGGGAGCCAGGTTAACCGTTTCCCCTGTTTCCAGTCTTTATGCTATGCCGTGCTAAGCTAAGCTAACCTGCTGCCGCGCATGCACACTGGGAGTGTTGATCTTCTGTTCTGAGACCTTATAAGAAATGAAATGAGCTCATCACACAAAATGTTGCAAACAATTATTTTACCACCTGAAGTGATCCATTAAATCATTTCAAAATGATAAAATCCAGGTATGCACCATTGTGGTGGGAGTCATCCCCCGACGGGTCCATCCTGTGCCTCCGTTGTAACAGATCGGTCTCCTTCTTGCTCTGACCCGAGGCTCCTCAGTCAGTCGGTGGAGCTCTGTAACATCTCGGCCTGATACGCTGTGAAGTGAAGCCATCAAATCCCTGAAATCCACACTGTGCTGATCTCTGATCAAATATACGCATTGTTGCGTTATAAAGATGAAGAAACTCCGGGCGGACAGGAAGCGTCTTGGTTTGAAGAGTTAAAACCCAAAGTATTTAATAAAAGAAAAGGTGTTGAGCTAAAGAGAAGATCTCAGCTGAGGAGCCGCTGGTCTCTGCCATCAACAGGCCACAAGGCAGCACGTTGACCCCCCACAGTGACTGTCTGTTGCCTCCACCCGCGAACTCTAGAACAATGGGTTCCCACAGGTATTTATACAGATCAGTAAAGGTGTGAAAGGGGCGTGGTCTCCTGATGAGTTCACTGTTACTCGCATTTCGAGTGTCTCTCAGTCAATATCAGTTGTGGTGCTATCAAGGGTTACATGCATGCATTTCGCTTGATTACATTACGTTGAATACAATCATAGCTGTGAATTGGTATTATTCTATTGGTTACAGTTTAAAATGAGTGGTTTTGCAACATTCTCACTAAATACACTTAATGCATTTTATATTATTAATTAATTTATGAACCGGGTCGTCAGTTTATTTCTAATACTCTACAGCATGAAAGAAGGACATTATTCACCGCCGCGGCCTCGCTCCACTGGTGCTTGATTTCATACGTTGTGTCCACTTTTTCTCTGCTTTTTTCAACGTAATAATTAAATCTGTTGGGAACAGATTGTGTCATGTGATTCCACGATTTATGAGCCATTGCAAAATGCGCGTTTCATCAAATGTGAGCCAATTCAGGGAGATCTCAGGAAGTTTAGTCAGGAAATTATTTCACAATAAATATCACGTGTTATTCCATCAAAGTCCTGGCTTGGATGCAATACAGGAAAATGTATTGCACTACTAGTATATTTTAGTTGGTATACTTACATGCATATTCTTCACCAACTTCATTGTTTGCAAATCCGTGCCAGGTCTGTACAGTGTTTTGTTTGTTTCATAATACTTGTGTGGATGCACGCTGCTCATGTATTATGTTATAATAAAGCAACATTTATTTTGCTGCTGATCACTTTTCTTTTACCTGCACATGCAGATGTTTTGCAACAGGGGGAGCTGTGTTGCCCAACATGAAGTTAGGACCTCAAAACAGTGTTTTTCTCTTCAGATTCAGTCATTCAAAATATTGACATGGCCGTCCTCGTCTCGGCCCTTGCATGCATCAACCTCGGGGGCCTCTTACCTTACTTTTTGGGCCGGAAGGGGAACTGAGGTGTCGGTGTACGGGCCCTCGCTGGGAGACCCCATGTGATCTCGGAGCCTGGAAAGAGTTCCACCTGCAACCCAACCCCAAAGAGGGCCGCGCTCCGCGGGATTGGATGGGTCACCTTATCCCCCACTTTGTGTCTCATTACCCAGCAGTTGTAATGCTCACACCAGTGTAACGTGTCCATGGCGGCGGGCGGGGCGAGTTGGACCGGCCTGAAATTTAAATTAACCTCAGTGACATTTCTGTGTGCAGGGGAACAGCGGTGTTACATTACCCCGCACTCCCGCCATGCACACACGCCTGTCGGACATACAGGTGAACAAAAGAGCGTGCACACTCGCGGACATGAGGTGCACGGAATCCGGAGCAGCGGATTGTCTGTTACTAGTTTAATGCTGGTCTCGCGTGGTGGTGGGCCTCTCTTATCGGCTTGGCTTGCTGGTCCGTAACCGGAGGAATGATCGAGGAAGGAGCTCCGTCTGCGTGTGGCAGGAAATGTCAGGGAGAGAGAGAGAGAGGCTTAGCATCTATTTTTCAGTAGTGTTGAAGCTCCTGCTCGCCATGGGAGGCTGTACCTGTGCTTCCTTAAGATTAACTCTGACGAGATCAATATCCACCATGAGAGATACATGTTTGCTTTCTCACAGTTTTATAGTTGGATGTTTCTCAGAAGGTGCTAGTGGGGCCTCTGTTTGAAGCTACAGTCCCAATCTACACACTTATTTGTTTAAAATAGAAAAAACAATCAGAGCCAACATCCGATCTGTGGCCGAGATGTAAATTCATATCACTTACATCTTCATTAAATCCCAGCTGCTGGGGGATCTCAAGACTATATTAACCTTTCTCTGGGTTTTGGGGTAGTTGTTGCTGCGTCTCTTTGACAACGTGCGTTTTGAGACGAACTAAATGGATAAGATATTTTTCCCATTTTGGCTGCTTGCACAGATAAGATGTATAAACTACTTCCGCAGCAGGAAATCGAGGACCGTCTGATCATTCTGCACCCCACTATCTACTGTAGCTGAAGAAGCGTTCATCAGAATCCCACAAAATCCTGTGATTGGTGTGAAACAGGTTTGAAACGTAGAATAAAACTTATGCTAAGCTAAGCAATCAGCCTGCAGCTACATGTTACCCGCGCACTCCCCAGAGTGGTATTGATCATTCCATGTAACGCGAAGCATTCCAAACGGTCCAGCTACAGGAGCAAAGAGCGAGAGCCGTCTGTGGGACGGAGGATATTAGGCGATGGAACTGACTGTGAGTTCTCGTGACCCTCACAAAGCTGCTCGAGGGCGTTTGGAAGGCGCTTTTAACCAGCGTGGGTCGGCCAGGCAGCCCGAGAGGAGGGCATGTGATCCCCCGTGGCGTTCTCCCTTAACATCTCCTCAAGAACTGGGACACCCAAGAAGATGGGTGCATTCCCAGACTTTGTGCTCGAGTGTTTTCGCGGCCATCATGAATCATGCATCGGCCCTGCTGTGCTCTGGAGGCATGTGTGTGTCAGACACGGGGGAAACCCTCGTTGACAAATCATTCCCCACATCTCAAACAGCGGATTTCATTATTCAAGACCGCGCCGGGTTATCCTAACCTCGTTCTGTGGAACAGACCAGAGCGTATCTCAGAGCACAGTCTGATGTGAATTCAATTACGCCTCCACTTAACTACGTTTCCCTTTTTGTGGTCTCGCTTTCGCATCGACGATTCCTTTAGAAGAGACACAAAAAGATCTTCCTCTTTTCCCCGGCGGTTGCAATAGGAGATCTGCATCCCCGGCAGCTCTTATAAATGGAAAAGCACATCGTGGGCACATAAATGTTATTCGGAAAACCCATGGCAGCGACCGCATCAGTCAATATGGCTTCCAGAGGTTCCCTGGATGCATGCGCAATAATGAACAAACCTCACAAAGGCAGAGGCTGGGTAAAGGATTCCTCTGTGGTCCCTTAACTACTGCTGAGTGCAGGGGAATGTTTGTCACTGAAGGGCTTTTATACTCAGAATATGAAAGATGGGTCCCAGTTTCAATTAAGTTTCAATCAAGTTTCTCATCTCCGCATCTATTTGTACTTTATGAAAGGTGAACTGCAGTTACCTCTAATTCTCTGCTTCCCATATCCACATTTTCTGACTATTACATGATAATTCTGGAGCTGCACATGCATGCTGCTGTTTCTGTATAGATATTGTGCCCCCCCCCCCCCCCCCCCCCCTTTGGGGTTTTAGAGTGTCCCCCACCGGGTTTTGTGTGTAAACAACTCCGCAGCGCAATTTGAGGATGGGGCCTTTTGTTCCGGTTGCGCGACAACTAAAAAACTGTCGTTGACAACACATCTGCTGTGAGAGAGAAGCCCCTAACAACTATTTTTTGTGGAAACACTCGTGTCCTACAAAAATATACTCCAAGACCATGAGGTTTTATGGGAAACATTGTGTCTCGGAAGAGTGCACTCCAGTGCGCGCCCTTCCAAACGTCACACACCTTGTTGAGTCCGTCTGCCGAATTTCCGCGTGAGCCATATGAATCTCCCGTAGACGCACGCACCACTGAACGAATCCCATTTGTATCCCAAAACATGCTGCTGCTTTCACTCCCTCAGCGCACAGACCAGACCATCAACCGAGCCAACAAAACCTCCTAATGGGTCGCTGAAACGTCAATTATTCATCGGTTGCATCGGCCCGGTTTTCTAGTGCAGATGCACGTGTCCTATGGCCCACCTTGGCAACAATAGAGCGAAACCGTCTGAGAGGGATGATGACCGTAGTTGTGGGTTGTGGCTCCATCCTATTTGGCGCAGGCTTGACGGTCCTGACGGTCCCACGTACACCGCCGTCCGCCCTACACCACCGTACTAATGGTGGAGGACTCCTCTGACTTGCCCTGTATGCCGGGTAACGACTTGAGATACTCCAGGTGTCTGCGGGCGTCCTCTGTATTAGCCCTGACGTAGTAGACCAGGTAGGAGATGACCATGCTGAACCAGCCGAACATGACGACCAGCATGGCCACATCTGTAGTCCTCTTCATCACCACACACAGGTCTATGTCCGGTGCCAACAGGAAGGCGAGTCCCTGAACTCCTATTTGCTCCGGTTCCGAAGTCTGGCACACGATGCCCGTCAGCGACGCCGGCTCCAGGTCCACGCGGGGCATGGCCATCTGCAAGTTGCAGTCACAATGCCACGGGTTGTTCGTGAGGTTGGCGCGAGCCCGCAGGCCCTCGAAGGCCTCAGGGTCAAAGTTGACTAACTTGTTCGAAGAGATGTCTAGGAACTGTAGCGTGGAGCCCAGGCCCCTGAACGCCCCTGGCTCCAACCGGCTTATTTCGTTGTGCGATAGATCCAGTTCGACCAGGTAGGGCAAATCTGCGAAAGCATTCGCTGGGACCGCGGTGAAGAGGTTGAAGTCCAGGTACACGTGTCGCGTGTCGTTGGGAATATCCTGGGGGATCTCCGTGAGCTGCAGATTGCTGCAGCGCACCGTCTTCCCGCCGCTGCCGCTCTCAGAGCAGTAGCAGCCGTCGGAGCAGCCGGTAGCAGCATCGTGGAAGCAAAAGGTCACGAGCACCAGGCTGTGCAGCAGCAAACACATGACCACCAGGTGGCGCAGTAACCAGTCTGAAAGAAGGGGCATTGTGGGATACGTGCATGCTCGAGGAAGGACCACCTGGATGCGGGGGGGCCGGGCGAAGTCCTCATCAACCTCCCCAGTAGCTTTTCAGTCTACGACACGAAAAAAAACAACAGAACGTCACATTAACAAGGGAAGGAAGAGCAACCAAAGAGTGCAGATTGCGTTGGGATCATTAGCAATGTTTCTGAGAGTCCGTAACGTCATCTAATCCAGGAAGCAGCGGTTAGTCTGCAGCAGCTCGACAAACAACTGCATCTCTGCAGTATTTCCAGAAAAGTCAGAGGATGAAAGAATGCCTTTACACCAACTAATTAAACAAGCCAGAAAACTCCTTTTTATGTCACTGTGGCTCGTTTATAATTGACACCCTTGCTAAGCAGGGCTATTTCAGTACACAGATACGGGCATTAACATAGTGATGTGACACCATGTGAAACAAAACGTTCCAAACAAAACGTGAGACCAATCGTAAAATCTAAGCATCATCAGTTATTTCTAAAACCACAGCTGCCTTTCTGATGCCATCGTTTCATTAAAAGTGGCCATTGAACATGTCTTAGCTTGGTGTTGATCAATCTATGCAGTCGCTAAGGTCAGTTGCTTTGGAAGTGCAAGTAACACAGCTAAATGTGTCCTATGAATTACACTTTGTATTTTGCGTGTAAGCCTTTAAAAATAGCAGGTCCACCCGTCCCAACGCACTTCATTAATAGCTGAACAGGGCCACCTCCTCTCCTGTTACTAATCCTCTCAGGGAAAAACTCCTTAAGCCAGTGTTGCACCAGCGTCGGCCACCCAATCCTTCTGTTGTGGTAAATGCTAACGCAATAAATGGCACGAATGTGACGGTCCGTCCTCTTCCAGACAAAAAAAGAACCACCAGACCTCAAGATTTCTTTAAAATGGCCGGAGAGCAAGATCCACTTACCAAGATTAAAAAAATGAAATCGATCTCTAAGTACCTCAAAGTATCACATGGCGCTGGGGGGTAGAAGACAGGGTGTATAGCGGCAATGGTGGTGTGTATGTGTGCGTTAAAGGGGACAGATGTCTTGTCCACGCAGATAATAACACTCATTGTGTTACGCCGCTTTCCGAAGATGCGTGCCGACAATGAAGGGGGAGATGGAGCGAACGAAGCCTCCGCCGTGAGGAAGCTGCGACTGGTCGGGACGTGCGTCTCCACTGAGCTCCCAGAGGACGTCTCTCTGCACTTAGTGTCTGCAGGGCGCCCGACAAATGCAGTTCAACACCCAAGGAAACAAATCCCTCGCCCTAAACCAAGAGAGAGATGTTATGCTCCTGCGAAGGCTGCACTCTTCCCGTCACACAGAGAGGCAGCCTGGTATTTGGCTGAGAGATATGGGGGAGCTGGTGACGGAGGAGACGAGATGAGCATCAGGGCACAGAGGGAAAATGGGGACGCGCACTGGCTGTGACAGAAAGCTTATATATCGAGTAAAAGGGGGCGGTGGGCGGGGGGGGGAGGTAACATTACCATAACAAGAGAACAGTGACACTAATGAGATATCGGGGGAAAGAATCACGTTTGTCAGTAACAGGGAGAGCTGATGAGGACATCTGGCACTGAAAGAATAAAGAGACACAGATGATACAAACAGGAGAGCGGCTGTTAACTAAATAAGTGACAGGTTTAAAAAAGATTTTCAATCCCAGAGACCAAAATGTGTAATTTTACTTTAGCCCTATACAATAAATATAACTCATCTTGCAAGTGGCCTTTAAATCTGGGCGAGGTCTCAATCAGTGTCCCCGAAGTGGTGTTTTTTGTAAAAAAAACCCCTCTCTTTTTTATTTTCCCAAGAAAAAAGAGGGCTCCGGAGGGTCCCTTTCCCCCTTCGAAAATTCCTTTTTTTTCTTTTCCAAAAATTTTTTCAGGCCCTGCAATTCCCCCAAAAGAAAAAAGGGGAAAAAATCCACCAAAAATTTTTTTTAAACCATGTTTTTAAAATGCTTTTTGGGGGAGAAGAATCCTTTTTCTACCCAAATTAACCTGCGGGGAAAAAAAAAATAACTTTTTTTTAGACCAGGGTTGTGTGGGGATGCTGGAGGGGGAAAAAAAAACCTTCCCTAAAATTTTTCTAAACCCGGCTTTTTAATGCAACTCTTTTTTTCCCCCCCCCCCCCCCCCCCCCCTCTATGCCAATCTTTGTTGTTTACCAGAAGACCCCATTACACCCCACAGATCTTCCTGATATCAATAACAACACCGTTGGGGGGGGGATCCTTAAATAATGCAATTACATTACACACAATGTACTGGATTGCACAATAAAAAACAGTTTATAAATCTATTCAAGATAAATATCAGAAACTTGATTAAAACAACAGTCATGATGCAATTACTTCACGTCATTATAATCTAAACACAATCTGGGGACATTTAGGTTACAACATCACAGCGCAACAGCGGTATCAGTTCCTGCTCTAATTCTAATTCTAATTCTAAGCGACACGCATTTGGTGAAGAACGAACCCAAAGCCCGCGATGTGGAGGCGATGCCTCGCGGGAATCGATTCCCTTTTCAAGTTTGTCTTTCACCCTGTTTCCCGTCCGCGCATCCGTCGCTCGTTTCCACGCGATCACCCCGCGCGTTACAACTCCAACGCGGCTGCATAAAGGCGCGCTGACCCCCCCCCCCTCCCCAAAACGCCAGAGCTCACTCACGTCCCGTTCGCTGCCCTCCTCATGACGCGCGCCTCCGGAGGTGGAACGCTCCCGCGGATCGGATCGCGATTTCCGTCTCCAGCCTCCATTCGGGTTCTTAGACTTGTGCCGGAGAGCCGGGACGCGCCGGTGGGGATGCGCCCTCAGCGCGGCGCTCCTCGCGGTGCGGCATCTAGTTTCCACGCAACCGAAAGAAAAAAATAAATAACAGAAGTGCGGTGGGGGGGGGGGGGGAGGACGTGAGGGACGTCTGATCCTCGATGTGACCGTCTGAAAAGAGAAGTTTAACCACAAAACCCCGGAGAGCTTTCCCGCTGGGTGTGGAGCGGGGGAAGAAGGCTCAATCAAGACCCCGGTATAAAAGCCCGGCCCCCCTCACAACCGTCGGAATGAAATAAGATTGACGCCATCTTGTGTCAGCAGACTGCCAGCCCCCCCTCCCTCCCCCCCTCACACGCACGCATGTCATACTCCAGTTCAGTTCACGCTTGATTGTGAATCTTGTTGTTTCGAGCACGCAGCCCGCGGGGCCCTTTTCCTGCCTGCTGCCAGCCGATAAGGAAGCGCAATCAAATCCAAAAGCAGGAAAACAGACGTTGGTGGGGACCGGAGTCGGCCAAGCAGTCGGTCACAGGGTATTAACGGAATTAAAATCAGTGAGGTGGGACGCTCCTCGAACCCCCTCCCTGGTGGAATGATCGGCTGTGAAGGGTTCACTGCGGCGAGGCGCTTGCATCCATTTCTTGATATAGGAAAATGATGCACGCTGTCTCATTTGGATCGGTAGTTACCGCCATCGCTTTGAACCACAGGTGTCAAACTCAAGGCCTGTGGGCCAAATCCGGCCCGCCACGGGAGGGGGGGGAGGTTCCAGTGCGGCCCACCGAATGACTTTGCATTTCTATAAAAGTAGCTGCTCTTCCTAAAAAGTTGAAAATGACTGCGTCCCCCCCCCCTGTGGCCCAAACCTAAAATGAGTTTGACGCACCTGTTTGAAACCATCATGCACGACGGTACCCTGATCTCCGTGGGGATGGGGTCCACCGTTGCTGCTCTGTCGCTGCTGTCGCGGCCTTAAGGTCAAGAGGCCGCTCTCATCAATTACATGGCGATCAGATATTGGTGAAGGAGCGCGTGACAGCGAAATAGCAGAAAATAAGATTACTTCCCTGATCGGCAGCGGGGAGAGTGCGCCGGCGCTCCGTTTTTCTCTATCAGATTACTTCAAATGCTCCGCTGTGGATGGGCGCTGTGTGCATTATCAACCGAGCATTAGTCCCAACCACACCTTCCAGTGGATAAAAGTTTATTTTTACCCCCCGCCCGCCTGCCGCCCCACCTTACAGCCTGTCAAGTATCTCAAAGCATGCTGGGCCTCCTCTTTGTTACCCTCCTGTGCATGTGGCGAACCAGCAGGATGACGTTAATCCATGAAGCTGCAGCGGGATTTCGGCTGAGAAAGCTTTCGCTCAAAAAGTTCTACAATTCCATCCACCGAAGTTGGCAATGGTTCTCCATAAGCCGGTTCCAGGGTCTCTGAGTTGCACGGAACCAGAGGAGGGAAGTGAATAAGGTCTCTTCTCTCTCCTACTTTGTCTGGCCTGCCGGCTCAAAGCTCTGCCTCGTCGTTATGAATTTAACCTCGTCCTGGACTTTATTTATTTAATTCCGTTACATGCACTGAAGCTTTTCATCCCAAACTGTGAGAAATGTGTATTAAAAGAATTCCCCCTGCTCCTGCCGGTCACAGAAAGGGGCCCCCCTCGCCTCCTCTTCCTCTGTGAAGACCCCTGTCTTTGAAGTCTGACATGATTGACATGAAGGGAACAATGGACCGATGATATGAAAGCGCCGCACTCATTGATCCTCGTTGAATTCCCTCGCTGACGGAGCCTCGGCCGGCTGAGTCTTTTCAAAAGCTCCCAACCACAAGCTTTATATTTCATTCGCCTCAGGGATAAAAAGAAAAGAGAATTGTAAGATAATGTTATTGTTTCTTCAGCCATGTTTAACATTAATAGTCAGCATGCTAGCATGTGTTAGTTAGCATCTCAGCCAACGGAGTAGTTCTGCAGGCATTTTGTCTTGAACTAAAGGTCAGAGGATCACCCCAGTAGGTCCGGTTCATTCTGTTGGGCTCGCGCATGTTGACGCCGTTGAGGTGCTCTGTATTTCAGCTGGTGAATCACTTTATTGGATCCTTCTTTGACCTCGCTGAAGAAAAACAGTTACTTTTCTGCACGCTGGGAAAATGAGTTGTTCCTTGTTCTGCAAATGTGCAGTTAGTGTTTGCAAAACAGTGAGCGGTCACGTCACGTGCACAATAATCAAAGTGCCGCCAGCGACTGTGACGCACTTAAATGTTCAGTTGTTACAGTTTCCTGGCAAAACAGGATAGAGGCGGTTACAGCGTTTTTCCTTTGCCCTTCTAAAGCAATTAATAATTCCTAGTCCTTCATTGTGTCTCTCAGACATGTTTACTACGAAAACCAGGGAGGGGTGTTCACCTTAAAGGTCATGACATGGACTTCGATAAAGGTTACGGGCTTTCTGTGGAGGACACCTGTTGGAGCTGTTCAGACGTTGGTTTTCTCGTCCGTTTCCATGGTTTCCTGCATAGACATGAAATAGTTTTGCCCTCTAAAGTTTGTTTGCTAACGACTTCGTCCATCGCTCGCGTGGAAATTACCCCGAGATAAAAACCCACAGAACCCACAAAGCGGTGATTACGCTTTCCCCGTTTCCACCATTAATTGGTTTTAGTTGAGCTGTTTCATATCAGCACGCCCATTTCGCTCTGTTTCTACCCGACACCCACTTGTAGACAGGCGACGAGCCCCTGCCAGGAAATAATTACCCAGAAACACTGAGTCCAACTCCAGTTAATTCACTTACGCAAACCCAAGAGGGAGTGAACCCACACGGGCCTCTGACCCAGCAACTTGCCTCTCTGCCACAAAGAGCCACACACATGAAAGTGTTTCTCTGAGATCGAGTTGTTTTCATTCAGCAGAATAATTGAATGTCTCAAATAGCTCTGATTTTGCTAACCCACATTTTTGTTCCTCTCGACTGTTACAGAGGCAACAAACGCACAAACACAATATTTCTCTAATCTCGTACTAATCTTGACATCTTGTCACATTCAGCGTCATAAAGTACAGCGATAAGCCGGAAATATCCGACATCTTGACAACTAGAGCTCAAACCAGAGCTTCCCTCTGTTCGTCTTCCCACAGACGCCACGACTTAGTTCATGTCGGATTAGACGTCGTTCATTTCCCCCCCCGTTATTTCCACGACAAGAGCCCAAATGAAGAGGTAACGTCAAAGGGCCTCCTTGTCGCCGAGTTGCACCAAACGGGCCGCTTGTACACGTCGGGTTTCTGCTCAGAAAACACAGGCCCATCAATAAATAAGGAGGGAAGCAGGTGGTGCTCAGGGCGACGGTGTCCATCTACTTCGCTAACGTCTCTCAACCACGTCAGAGGGAAACACTATTTTTGGATACTTAGTATCCCCCCCGATTCAAACGGCCCACTGGAGATAAAAGGAAGTCTGTGCGTGTGCTGAATAGTAACAGCACAGTTGCAAAAAATATATATACGTTTCTATGAATGTGCCGCTGTAGAGAGAGATACATGTGAAAGAAAAATACGACTGTGAGAAAAAAACGTATCAGAGGAAGAGGAAGGAGTTTTCCCATCCTGCCGTGAAAATATTAGTTTAAAAACGTGGCGTATTTTCCCTCTCGGTTTGAAGATGGGTTGCGGTCTCACATCCGTTCGCTTGGTCGAGGTGACGGCCCGAGAGGTGCACATCTGAAGCTCTTTCACAGGAGCACAGCGCGTCCTTTGTGTTGCACGGACAAAGAAAAAGACGAGGGCGGCTTGCTTAACATCCCGTCACATTCCCTGAAGGAGTCAGGGTCTTTTTCTTTACGCTGAAGATACAGAATAAAGTGCGTTGACGCCTTTATTCATGAGTGCCGCTGTGAGTTTCTCAGCCCTATTATTATTATTATCATTATTCCAAGGTCAGATGAGCGGGCAACACAGTACGACAGAGTTGTTGGATGAATCCGTTCACACAACCATAAACTGAAAGGCCGATGTTTGCCAAGTGCTGAATGAAATCCAGGCTCTGCTCTGTAATGCTGACACGGAGGAAAGATCTGCTTAATGATACCAAGTTGCAAGAGCATCAGCTAAGGACTATCATGAAACTGCACCGCCGTCCTTCTCAGCAGATAAACTGGTTAACTGCTAAAGAGCTTTTAGGCAGCGATCACGTCCAGTGTGTGTGGCAGAGAGATCGAAGGAGAGATGTTTACGGGAGAGAATGTAGATGTATGAGGCGAAATCAGAGCTCAACCATTTGAGAAAAGGAGAACGTTGCACTTTTGAAATCCAAATGTTCTGAATATTATTTACAGTTCTCACTCGAACGCCGGTTTGGCTCAGAGACCAATTTCACCAAAAGTGCACTCAGAGAGAGAGAGAGAGAAAGCAAAGTGAACAATAATACTCAAGTCAGCAGAAAACAATCCAGGAAGAGCTGTATCTTTACTCCATTAAGGATCAATATCCACTCAACCTCAGATCACTGGTGGGGCGATCCAGGTGTGAACAGGAGGCCAGCGAGGCAAGGCTCACAGGTAAATCTGAGGAGAGATCCGAGAGGACGTGATGGACAATTTTCATGACGTCCGTGGAAAGCAAGAGGACGACAGTTGGAGCCAAAAACTGACGTCCGTGAGTCTATTAAATGCTGCAATAAAGAGATGGTGCTTAAAATGAAAGGTTCCGTTGACGCAAGTCAAGTGACCCATCGCTCAATTCCCTGAGAGGAATAATGAATACAACATGTCTACAGTGTACACGGTACTTGGTTATATAGCATAGTACTGAGTTCACAGGGAAGCGATAGATGAAGGGTCTAGCAATCTTTTAAGACATTGGTATGTATTCAGTTTGTGGGGAGATGATGTGCTCATGTTTGTGAAATCAGTCTCTCACGCAGAGGAGGAATGGTCCGTGCTTCCGACAATGATCTCCCAATAATGATTTCCAAACAGCTTTTGAAGCTTAAAGTCAGCACCCACGGGGAGTTTTTCCAGTGTTCTACAGGCTACTGCAAACATTTAAAACATTATATGTACCAACATTTGTGATACAAACTGGAGATGTATACAGATTTACTATTAGGAAATATTAAATATTTTTTATGTATTTCACATCGGTAGAATAACATTGTTTCAGCTCTGCTTAATCAGTGTTGGTTTATTTATTGTATGCTAATCATGAATGTGTGATCCTTGACCAATATGATCCCTTTAGTCATCCAATTAGGGATCACAGTTTACAAACGTAAATGTTTAATTCCACATTGGGCAAATCAGAATTAATCAGAATTATATAGATAGTTGTTAAGATTAACAACAACAAAAATACAAAGTGGCTATTTTTCGGAATCTGGACGATATCGTGCCGATGATAAATGTGTTTTAACATCTAGACGAGTTGATTGGCTGGGAGACACCATGTGGGCGGGCTTCCGGGGGCTCCTTCCTCTTCAACCGTTGGTCATTGGTCGTTAACTTTTCAAAAGAGCGGATTGGTCACTGAAGTGAAACGTCAGACGGGCCTTCATTTGATTGGTCGATGTAGCCATCACGGGGGTTTGGCTCCAAAATTTTAAATTTTCAAACATCGTCCTCGCCTCCGCCGCAGACGGTACAGAATAGTGCAGCAAGGCAACCGCGCAGGTAGTATTCAACCAGTCAGGTCAGGTCAAGGCGTTGTTTATAAGTCATCCCAAGCACCACGGTTAAGCAGTAAATATAAGAAGAATGGCGGAACCACTGAAGGTAACTTTACAAAAACGTCGATATTTGCTGCTAACGTTAGCCAGCAGCTAACGCTACTGCTAAGCAAAAGGTCCTAGCAACGGCCAGATTTAGCTAACATCTTTCAACGTATTGTTAAAAAACACATTAACCCCAACGTTAACTATCGTTAACTCACTCCTAACCCCGTGTGTTTGGTATGTCCTCATCCATAACGTGATAAGTCCCGTCTCCCATCACAGCGTCAACGTGATGTCGCGTTAGGACAACAACGTTAGTTAACTTTAACGGTTAGCAGTATCTAACGTTAAGTCGATCGGTTCTAACCAGTTTGTGTTCTAGCAACACTTTTATTCAGAAGTTCTCAATGTTGTTTTTATAGACTATACTGATGGGATACTGTGTGATGTTGTTCGGTATACATTAAATCTCAGGATTCATGAAGCTGCAGAGATGTGGAGCTGATTCTGTTGTGTTTTTGTACCAATATCGCTCGAAGCTCAAACGCGGCTCTTGATAAGTGACCCTGTGTCATTCGCAGCAGAGCCTCTTTGATAACAAGCCCATGGAAAAGATAAAGAAAGATCCCAAGCGGATGTCGGTGGAGAGAATCTATCAGAAGAAGACTCAGTTGGAGCACATTTTGCTCCGACCGGACACCTACATTGGATCTGTAGAGCCAGTCACCCAGGTAAGGTCACAGGCCAAGTCTTTGACCCCGGATGGGTTCTCAAATAAACCTTTATTCATGTCCTTTGGCTCTTTACAGGGAGCCAAATATTCATGGTTTTCACGTGATGTTTCTCTCCATAGCAAATGTGGGTGTACGATGAGGACGATGGACTGAACTGCCGTGATGTGACGTTTGTCCCTGGGCTTTACAAGATTTTTGACGAGATCCTTGGTGGGTGTGAAGCTCACATGACTTTAAGTTGTGTATAACGTCGATGGACGTGGCGGGCCATCACATGGAGGTCCTGCTAAACTGAGTGTTTTTCCCCATTCTACAGTAAATGCAGCTGACAATAAGCAAAGGGACAAGAAGATGTCCACCATCAAGATCAACATAGACATGTGAGTCACGCGGAACAGTGGATGACCAAGTTAAAATCTCAAAGTAATGTGTGACCCCACCACAGTGGCCCCTTGCCTTTAAATGGTCAAATAGCACCTATACCGACCCAAACTGCTCTCCTTGTTTTGTCAAAAGCACATTATGAAATGCGTGTGTGTTTTTTGCGTTTTAGTGAAAACAACACCATCAGTGTGTGGAATAACGGGAGGGGGATCCCTGTGGTGGAGCACAAAGTGGAGAAGGTCTATGTGCCTGCTCTCATCTTTGGGCAGCTCCTCACCTCCAGTAACTATGACGATGACGAGAAGAAAGTCACTGGTAAGACTGATGAAGGAGTTCAGAAGACTCAAGTGTATCAATTCTTTACAACCTGGGCTTTTATTTCTCGCTGGTCATCTTCTCTTTGGGTTTCTATTTTTTCTTAAAAAGAAAAAAAAAAGTAAATTAAAGGTGATTCAAATGCTCGATGCAACTTTACACTGAAATCCAACCTGTTCATTTAAACAAAACCATGTCTATATTTAAACTATTTCTTTAAAAGGGAAATTACAGGAAAGGCTGCCAACATATATTTTATATTCATACAAATTATCAAAGACTCATTGTAGGACTATAGTTTAACATAACAACAATATATTTAATTTTATCTTTAAGTGCAAACTGAATTCATGATCATGCTAGTCGACAGAAATGCATCTTAAAGCCACACAAAGGTTTTTGTATGTACACTACAGCTTTGTGTAATAAGTTAATCGCTACTTTTCTAGTATATCTGACATTTTCACGCCAATATTTCCTCTTTAGGTGGACGCAATGGATATGGCGCTAAACTTTGCAACATCTTTAGCACAAAGTTCACTGTAGAGACTTCCTGTAAGGAGTCAAAGAAGAGCTTCAAGCAGGTAAGGAGGACGCCGCGATAAGCCTTTTTTAAATGACTGTAACTTGAAAGGGAAACGTGTAATTACACATGATCTCCATGTTTTCCACAGGTTTGGTATGACAACATGAGCAGGACCGGAGATTCCCAAATCAAACCCTTCGACGGGGAGGAATACACCTGCATCACCTTCAGGCCGGACCTCGCCAAGTTCAAGATGAGCATCCTGGACAGAGACACGGTGGCTCTGATGACCAGGCGGGCGTACGACATCGCTGGAGTCTCCAAGGGCGTTCGTGTGTTCTTCAACGACAAGAAGCTGCCAGTAAGTTCCCGCGCCACTTCGGTTTTCCCTTCCAGCCGGTTGTTCTCGACCCCCTAACCATCAGCTACATCTTGCCTGACTAGAAAGGGTTATGGATTTGATAACTCCAGCATGTCCTGAGAGAAAAGAAGGGCTGTCATCCTGAATATCGTCCACGGGTCTCTTTTAACACCCTGTGATCTGCCCTCCAGCTCACAGGTTTCCGTAGCTACGTGGACATGTACGTGAAGGACCGGGTGGACGAGCTCGGCGCCGCCCTTACCGTGGTCCACGAGGTCGTCAACGACCGCTGGGAGGTCTGCCTCACCACGAGCGAGAAGGGTTTCCAGCAAGTCAGCTTCGTCAACAGCATCGCTACGACCAAGGTGATCACATGGATATGTGCGAGAGGCCCGTCGTGACCTCAAAGCTAAACGCACCGTTACCTTCAGTTAAGCAGTATGATTGAATACCGGGTACCAGTTTATGTTTGATCATAATTCATTGAGACGGCCCGAGCTGTAGGCGCTGCTCCCCCGGCAGCTCTCGCAGCCACTTGGTGTCACTGCGACTCACACTCATGCGTCCATCGTGTAAACGTTCCCGTCCTCTGGACCTCAGGGAGGGAGGCACGTCGACTACGTTGCTGACCAGGTGGTTAGCAAGCTCATCGAAGTGGTGAAGAAGAAGAACAAGGCCGGGGTGGCCGTCAAGCCGTTCCAGGTAAAGTCACCTGGTCGTGACCTCGTGATGGGGGGGGGGGGTCAGAGTGGAAAACATTCCAGAGATTGCTTGTCTCTTGTTGGCCAACCACGTACCTGAGAATGCTCCATCCCCTCTCCTTCCAGGTGAAGAACCACCTGTGTGTGTTTGTCAATTGCCTGATCGAGAACCCGACCTTTGACTCTCAGACCAAAGAGAACATGACGCTGCAGCAGAAGACCTTTGGCTCCACTTGTCCGCTCAGTGACAAGTTTATCAAACAGGTGCCAACAAGGAATCACTCGCCCCGGGTTTCTATTCTCCAGCGTAATCGCTCTCCGATGTCACAACCGCCCGCTTGTTTTCTGTTCCCCGCAGGCCACATCCTGCGGGGTTGTGGAGAGCATCATGAACTGGGTGAAGTTCAAGGCTCAGACCCAACTAAACAAGAAATGCTCAACCGTTAAGCACACAAAAATCAAAGGGGTGCCAAAGCTGGACGATGCCAACGATGCAGGTACACGCCGGGTTTCCTCTCCTCTGCAGTCTTTGTCTGTCGAGAAAGCAAATGAGCCGCTGTCGTCCTGCAATAAACCGCGTCCTCTGGCAGGTGGGAAGAACTCCATCGGCTGCACGCTCATCCTCACGGAGGGGGACTCGGCCAAGACGCTGGCCGTGTCTGGGCTGGGCGTGGTCGGCAGGGACCACTACGGCGTCTTCCCCCTCAGGGGAAAAATGCTCAACGTCCGGGAGGCAACGCTCAAGCAGGTTGGCTCATCATTTTCACATGGTGTATCGTAAAAATGGAGTAGACGTAGATGCATTAACGCTTTGTTCTTCCTCATCAGATAATGGAGAACGCCGAAATCAACAGCATCATTAAGATCATCGGCCTTCAGTACAAGAAGAACTACAGCGACCCGGAATCCCTCAAGAGTCTGCGTTATGGCAAGATCATGATCATGACCGATCAGGTGGGGCGGAGTCACGTTTGTCACCCACTTCAGTGCCGGGCTTCGTGTTAAAGGGTCCGGGTGGATTAATGGTTACCGGTGACGTCCATGTAACCCGACCACGTCACTCCTTTGACAGGATCAAGACGGCTCCCACATCAAGGGGCTCCTAATCAACTTCATCCATCACAACTGGCCGTCTCTGCTGCGCCACAACTTCCTGGAGGAGTTCATCACGCCCATCATCAAGGTGAAACTAGAGAAGTTTTTAACCCGTTAGATTCATTATTAAGTAGCTGACTTTATATTCACATGTGATGTGAATCAAAGGAGGATTGGGAACTTTGAGGCGCACAACTTTAGTCTCCCTGAGTTTGGACCAACGTTGCCACCTGCTGTCAAAACCATGGAACTCCTTCTTTTCCTCCACCTTCCATTTATGAGAAAGTTGTACTCTTGATGAATCCTCTGATTTGTTTATCATTGTTTTTGTCTGCAAATAGATGTCTCTGCTTCTTTTCTTTAGGCAACTCATAAGAAGTCTCAGCTGTCCTTCTACAGTATCCCTGAATACAACGCATGGAAGCAAAGCCAGCCCAACCAAAAAGCTTGGAAGATAAAATACTACAAAGGTTTGTTCTAAAACCCCTGTGTGGTAGTAAGAGTGACAAGTAAGCAGCCTTTCATTCCTGGCCAATGTCACGGTTTTAACCTTTTGCCTTTTCAATGCTGCGTTCTAAGCTTTCTGTTTCCTTCGTCCGTCCAGGTTTGGGAACCAGCACATCTCAGGAAGCCAAGGAGTACTTCTCTGACATGCAGAGACACCGGATCCCATTCAAGTACTCCGGACCTGAAGATGACGAAGCCATTTCCCTCGTAAGATGTCCCCCGTCTCGTTGCTGCCTTATTGGCTGAGTTACATTGCTAGTACAGCCGGGGAGGATCACCGAAGATCTCAATAGAACATTCAACATCCACTGGAAAGCTTCCTGCGGCTGATGTTGATTATTCAAGGTTTTGTATCAGATTCTTGTCGTGTTTTTTTCACCCAGGCCTTTAGCAAGAAGAAGGTGGACGAGCGTAAAGAGTGGCTCACCAACTTCATGGTTAACCGGCGCCAGCGCAGGGCTCACAACCTGCCAGAGGTAACGGCCCGACCGCCGAGCGGGCGCATCGCGCTGCATTTGTGTGCGTCTGTTGTCTCATCGCGTCTCGCTGCCTCTCCACAGGATTACCTGTACAGCCAGTCCACCAAGTCGCTCTCCTACAACGACTTCGTCAACAAGGAGCTGGTGCTCTTCTCCAACTCTGACAATGAGAGGTCCATCCCCTGCCTGGTGGACGGTGCGTGACGTGATCACCTCACCGGTTTTACATGTTTAAGGAACAGTTTGTTGGGTGTGCGTGCTTTAATGTGTGTGTGTGTGTGTGTGTGTGTGTCAGGTCTGAAACCAGGCCAGAGGAAGGTGCTGTTCAGTTGCTTCAAGAGGAACGACAAGCGGGAGGTGAAGGTGGCCCAGCTGGCTGGCTCGGTGGCGGAGATGTCCGCCTACCACCACGGAGAGGTGAGGCCACATCACCACAAATGTTTACAAGCGGTTTCTGTTCCTGTGGGGAAATTTCTATCATCAAATTTTTGATAATAACCCGACGACTCCAACTCTTGGTCAATGTTTCAGATCTCGCTCATGATGACCATTGTCGGTTTGGCCCAGAACTTTGTGGGAAGCAACAACTTGAACCTGCTGCAGCCTCTGGGTCAGTTCGGAACCAGGTTGCACGGCGGCAAGGACTCTGCCAGCCCTCGATACATCTTCACCATGCTCAGGTCAGAGGTCTCCTGGTGCAGACGTCACGCGCACATCGCGGAACGTGGGGGGATTTGATTCAACGGTCCACTCACAGTAGTTGGTGTTTAACTCGAGAATTCTCCTTCCCGCCCGTCCAGCCCTCTGGCCCGCCTCCTTTTCCCAGCTGTGGATGACAACCTGCTCAAGTACAACGTTGACGACAACCAGCGCGTGGAGCCCGAGTGGTACCTGCCCATCATCCCCACCGTGCTGGTGAACGGCGCCGAGGGCATCGGCACCGGCTGGGCCAGCAAGATCCCCAACTACAACATCCGGGAGATCGTCTCCAACATCCACCGCCTGCTCAGCGGCGACGAGCCCCTCCCCATGGTGAGCACCCGACACCGAGTTGCTATCTGGGGTCTCCTGGTGGACAGGTCTGATGACGTGCCCCCCCTGTCCCCCTACAGCTTCCAAACTACAAGGGCTTCAGAGGTACGATTGACCAGGTGATGGACAACCAGTTCATCAACAGCGGGGAGGTGGCCATCGTTGATTCCACCACCATTGAGATCTCGGAGTTGCCTGTCAAAACCTGGACGCAGGTAAGTCCTCCCCCCCTCCCCCCTTCCACCGTGTCCAGAGTGTAATAAATTCATTAAGTGCCCCCATGATTATTTGGGTCTGTATTTCATTTCCCGCCGCCTTGTCTCCGGTCCAGTGCTACAAGGAGAACGTGTTGGAGCCCATGCTGAATGGCTCAGACAAAGTCCCGCCTCTGATCACAGACTACAAGGAGTACCACACCGACACCACTGTGCGCTTCGTGGTCAAGATGACCGAAGAGAAGCTGTGTGAGGCGGAGGCCGCCGGCCTGCACAAAGTCTTCAAACTTCAGAACACCCTCACCTGCAATTCCATGGTAGCTGGCGACACACGCGTGCGCATATGTGATGATTTAGCAGGAGGATGGATCACAGACCTTAACTCTTCCCCTTTTCTTTAGGTCCTGTTTGACCACGTGGGCAGCCTGATTAAGTACGAGTCTGTGCAGGACGTCCTGAAGGCCTTCTTTGAGTTGCGGATGAAGTACTACGTGCTGCGGAAGGACTGGTTGGTGGGCATGCTGGGGGCAGAGAGCGCCAAGCTCACCAACCAAGCTCGCTTCATCTTGGAGAAAATCGAGGGCAGCCTGGTCATCGGTGAGTGGCTGTTTAAACAATACTATGAAAGGTAAAGGACAGATAACTAGTTGATAACGTAGAAGAGAAGCTCTTCATACGTTTTCTTCTGTAATAATTGTAATAATCACAGCAGTCACGATTCAGAGGGTCGTTTTAGTCCAGTCTGCTGTCATCTGGAATGTGTTTTTAAAGCATTGACGTCTGTCTACATTCAGAGAACAAGCCAAAGAAGGAGCTGATTCGCATGCTGCAGCAGATGGGCTACGACTCTGACCCGGTCAAGGCTTGGAAACAGGCCCAAGAGAAGGTGGGAGACTTTGAATCGTACGGCTCCAGCACGCAGGACAGTCTGCCTCCGCCAGCGTAAAGACTGTTTGTGTTCACGCTCCCAGAACGTGGACATCGTGGAGGAGGAGCAGGAGGAAGGAGCCGAGGAGGAGGAGGAGGAGGACACCAGCGGGCCGGACTACAACTACCTGCTGAGCATGCCCATGTGGTACCTGACCAAAGAAAAGAAGGACGAGCTGTGCAAACAGAGGGACGCCAAGGTGCGATCGACTTACAGAAGTCAAATTCTGATCTTCCTACTGGTTTGTTTCCGCGTGTGTTTGACCCGACTGCCGTTTCGCAGCTGACCGAGCTCAACACCCTGAAGAAGAAGGCTCCCACGGACCTGTGGAAGGAAGACCTGGCCGCCTTCCTGGAGGAACTGGAGGTGTTGTCTCTTTATCTGCTCCTCCTCGCTGAGGATTTATTGCTTCCGGTTCCGTTTAGGAGCGTCTCTGTCAAACTCGTAATCGTCTTCCCTCCTTGTTCTTCCTCGTCGAACAGGTGGTTGAGGAAAAGGAAAAGGAGGCTGCCAGAATGCCGGTGGCCAAAAAGGGGCCCGCCAAGGGCAAAGCGCTGAAGGTGAAGCAGGAGACTCAGCCCACGCCGCAAGGTCGCCGCGTGGTCCCCCGCATCACCAGCACCATGAAGGCCGAAGCCAACAAGAAGGCTTGTCTCAGGAGAGGAGAGGGCAAGAGGCCCAAAAATGTCAAGGTTTGTCTCTTCGGATCAGTAAAATGGGAGGATCCATTTGTAGTTTTTGGGGCGTGTAATCGATCACAAGGGGGGAGGAGCTACGGGTTCGGCTGTGGTTTTTCGCGTGTTGCAGGTTTTTGTCACACTGGGAAAGAAACCTTTTTTCCTGACCTCATTTTTGTAACTGTAGACGGAGAAAGTGGTGGTGAAGATGGAGTTTGGAGAAGAGGAGGAGAACGAGGGGCCGAGGGAGGCGATGAGCTTGGCTGCACGACTGGGCAAGAAACCGAGAGTCATGAAAAGGGAAAAAGGTGAGTGGACGCCAGTAGTTCGGAGGTAGAAAATGAGCTGATCACGATGTACCATTTACCGTTCCAGAAAGTTTAATTTCAATCAGACGAAAAGGGGAAAGTTATCACTGTTCTACTTTTGCAATCACAACATCATTTTGGTGAATGATGACTTCTGCTGGCAGCTCTTGCAAAACGCATCATTTGCACAACGGCAGAATCCGCAGAGCACTTTTAAATTAGGAATTGGTTTCTATCATTTAAGCAGGCCAGCCGATGGATGGATGGAGATTGGACTTCCACTGCTCACTGAAACACAGCTGCACTGCATTTTAGTAACGTGATGACTAAGAAACGCACTTGCTTCCCTGCAGAAGTGTCAAAGAGCAGCCGGCAGAGCACCCTCCAGTTCAAGCCCGTGTCCAAGAAGGCCAAAAAGAACCCGTGGTCGGACGACGATTCGGAGGCCAATGTGTCCGACAGTGAGATGGACGAAGAGGTCGCCCCGAGGGAGAAGGTCCAACGCAAAACTAAAGGTGAACCTGCTCCCCGTTATGCCCCCCTCCCACTGTGTTTATACATACGAAAGCCTTCCACATTCCTATTCCAGCGCAGACGGCGAGATGAGATGAGACGCAATCACCCCGGGAAGAATGTTTGGTATTGTGAACGGAAACACTGGTGCAGCTCGTTTCCGAAGTGGCTAATTGGCTCAATTCAGCCCAAACAGCTGCTTTAATGAACCAAACGTTCCCCCGACTCACGCGGCCGCGTTGCCGCACCCTCCTTCCTGTCTCACCCTCCTTCCTGTCTCACCCTCCTTCCTGTCTCTTCAGCTGCGGTGACGTACAACATGTCCGACAGCGAGAGCGAGGTCGACGACAGGGGGGCGAAGGCCGCGCCGAGGCGGAGGGCCGTTGCCAGCGACGACGAGGATGACTTTGTCCCAGAACCCACGGCCGACAGCGACGCGGACTCTCCCGCCCCCCGTCCCAAAGCTCCAGAGCCCCCGTGAGTGCCCAATGACCCCCCCCACCGCTTTCTTCTTTCTAATGTCGGTTCCCTTTCATCAAACGTTGTCCGTTCCGTGCAGGAGGAAGGAAACGGCAAAGAGTAAAGCGACCGTTAAAAGCAAGTTGAGCTGTGAGTATTTTGTGACCTGCGACGACCTGGTAAAATGGGGGACGGGGGGGCGGCGGCCGAGGCTCAATTGTTTGCACTTTGTGGTACTTTTGCAGCTCAGTCGGACGATCAGTTGGCTCCGCCCAAAGCGCCAGCTCAACGCAAGACCAAGGCTGCGCCAAAGAAGTCTGCGTCTGCCAGGAAGCCTGCTGCTAAGAAGGCTGCAGGTAATTGAATGAGCCTAAATCAGGGCGGGTCACACAGATCCCACAGCAGAGCCTTTTCCTGCAAGGTACATGTGGATGGAGATTTTAAAAGCCCCGCCCCCCCCCCGGCTCCCCAGGATGTGAAGCAGCCGTCCATCGTAGACGCTCTCTCCAAGTCCAAACCCGCTAAGCGAGGTCCCTTCGTTCGACTCGGGCGATTCCGACAGCGACGCCAAGGCTCCGGTCACAAAGGCCAAACAGGTGAAGCGGAGAAAGGTCTTCAGGGAGGATTCCGACAGCAGTTCGGGCGCCCTGATGTCCCCCCTGAAGGCCAAAACCGTCCCCGGCAAGGTCGGTCCCCCCCCCCCCCCCCCGCGGAGGGCCCGCGTCGACCCGTCTGTTCATTCCGGCGTGCTGAGCGTTTTCTCTCTCTCTCTCCTCGCAGAAAACCAATAGCTGGGACATGGACGACAGCTTCCAGCTCTCGGACCAGGAGGCCGCCGCCCCCCTCGCAGCGAGAGACAAACCCGCCCGAGCCCGGAAGCCTGTGACCTACAAGCTGCAGTCGGACTCGGACTCAGACGACTTTTGAATTTGACCCGACGGGTCGGCTTCAGATTTTATTAGACATGTTCTTAAAATGTTATCGTGTATGTTTGTGCCATGTCGTTAACGTGGCGTACACGGATTTTTACTAAAACGATTTGGGCCCAAAAATAAGTTGTGATCCCGTCAGTAGTTTTCTCATCTGCTGTTTATTTTAGTCGTCCGTCTTTGTCGTTCACTTGTCTGTGTTTCGTGTCCTGTAAATATTTCAATGGCTGTTCATTTAATATTTGGAAGAAATAAAGTTGTCTTGTTTGTATTGATTGTGCTTGGACTTGTTGCTTTAGTGTTGACGAGTTATATTTAATCCCCACATGCTGGTAAATTAACACTTTATAACATTTTCTTTTCTTTGGTTCAAAGGTTTGCGATTATCAGAGTAACTCATTTCCTTGATGGAGCAATCAAAAGGAAACTTTATTGCATGCATAAAAAAATAAATCCTCACCTCCCTTAAACTCATGGAAATTGTCAGGTGTGTGTGTGTATAAAAGCTGCGGAATTAATCTGCTTTACACAGTTTGCATGTTTCAATTTCGTACAAACGGCTGCAGCTTGAAACGCGTCCTTCCTGCAATTTAGGAAGCGCCCTGAAACACTCATCAAGCCTGTGCCTCTCTTGGGTAAACATCCCTCTGGTCCCTTGATGAGTACAGATTAGGGTGTAGCAGGAATTTCCTAAACCATTGCCCCTCCCATCTCCCTCCCCTCAGATGTCCCAACGCCGGCAAACCTCCATCCCGCCATTGGCAGCGAGCGGGTGAGAGGAACACAAGCCGCTGTGCACATGAGCGTAACGCTTCGTTGGACACCATCTTTATTCGGTTTGTATCCGATGGGGAAACACTAAGGATTTATGGGGGGGGGGTTCGTCTGCATTTGGCTTAAATTGCTGTTATCGCTGCTGATCCAATCGCGTTTTGTCTTCGGTTTCAGGTCATTTGGACGTGAACCCTTATCACCGCCGTGAGGCGCCTAAAAAAAACTTTGGCTCTCAGCCTTCAGTTTGACATTTAGTCATGGATTGAAAACAATGAGATGCACTTCAGGTTATTGTAACCGAGCCGGACAGGCGGATACACGTCTCCAGATCCTCGCTAAGCCCCATCCAGCGCCGCCGTCATGGGGGAATGGAGCTTCCTCAGCGAGCTCTTCGACAGCCTCCGGGCCTACTCCACCATGCTCGGCCGTTTCTGGCTCCTGGTCACCGTCATCTTCCGGATGCTGATCCTGGGAACCGTGGCGAGCGACCTGTTTGAAGACGAGCAGGAGGAGTTCACCTGCAACACCCTGCAGCCGGGCTGCAAGCAGGTGTGCTACGACATGGCCTTCCCCATCTCCCAGTACAGGTTCTGGGTGTTCAACATCGTCCTCATCGCCACGCCAGCCCTGGTCTTCCTCGTGTACGCCGTGCATCACCACAACAAGAGGGCCGACGGCGGCCAAAGCAGCGGCCGGGACGACCTGGCAGATCTCCACTTGAGGAAGTTCTACGTCGTCAACGTGGTCTTTCGCATACTGGCGGAGGTGGGCTTCCTCGTGTTCCAGTGGACGCTGTACGGCTTCACGGTGGAGGCCCACTTCCCCTGCAGCCGCTTCCCCTGCCCCCACGTGGTGGACTGCTTCACCTCCCGCCCCTCGGAGAAAACCGTGTTCCTCCGCTTCTACTTCGGGGTGGGGCTGGTGTCGGCGGCCTCCAGCTGCGCCGAGCTTTTCTACAGCTCCGTGAAGTGGTTCTGCTGCTCGAGGAGGCCGCTCTTCGCCCCGGACCGCCGCCACCACGACGACGACGACGAGGAGGCGGGGGGCGGCGGCGGCGGCGGGTCGGAGGAGAAACCGCGAGGGGGCGCGGGAAGGGGCGGTGGCGCGAGCCACAAGGGAGGAGCGCGAGCGGGAAGGTCTCCGTCCGCGAGCAGAGTGAGGAAGGGCGGGAAGTACGCGGCGGCGGGGCGCTCGTGGCGTGAGGCCGCCCTGCTTTCGAAGCAGGCAGCGGGCGCTCAGGGTCACATGAGTGACTGATCCCGCCGCGCTGCGGCAAAAGCAGTTCCCTCGGAGTTCAGGGGAGGAGAGGAGCGTTTTTTTTTCCCGCCGCGCGGCCATGTGATCAGGAAACGGGGACAGTGGGGGAGAGCGATGGCGCCGATAAGGCGGCTTGTTTATTCGTTTAATTAGTGAAGACCACAATCAGCTCAGAGGGAGAAAAAGACTCACTCCGTCTTAATGGAACGACGTTAAATAAATCTGTTTGCTAGCCAGTCGTTAGCTTAGCATAGCACACGACTGGAACGTTAGCTGTGCTTTGACTGTCCAGAGTTAAGCATAAATGGAAAAAGACGCGTGTATATCTAACATGCCATTTCTTCTTGTGTACATTTTGAAGAATCAAAATACTTTTTATGACTATTTTAAGGTTGGTAGTTGTAGCTTTTTGGGTTAATGTTATTTTACTGTACTTTATTGTATATTTACTGTATAGATATAAAACTGTCATCTACTCTCAGCAATAGAACACAACATTTTCACACACGATTTCCACAGTATTAACAACAGAAAAGTAGGTTCAATACTAATGTATTTTACCACTAAACTAATTTTCAGGTTTCACGCTCACATGTATGAATGGATGAAAAACAGCACTTCAAATAAAGCGTTAAATGATGTTTCATTTTGATGAATGTTATAAATGTATGTTATTTGCACTTACAAATAATACAAATGTTTATTAAATATGTGTATTTAATACACTTGTATTTGTATTTTTACTGTTGATTGTTGTGGTTTATATATACAATATGTGTGTCATTCCAATTGTTCAGACGTCGCGCTCACATACGAAAGAAATGGCAGAACAAGCTTCTACTGTCCGTTCATTTCAAACGACAAGCAAAGTTGTTGCACATGCGCACTTCCCTCCTGTATTCTTCCACGTGTACGGCAAGTATGTCAGCCAGACATCATCTGCGTTACGTATCCAACGTGGACCGATTCTAACCGAGATGATACTGGAGAGTCAAAGGTCAAAGGTCAAAATGTCCGCAGATGTCACAGATCTGAGGAGACACACAGAACCGGACCGGACCGGGCGGGAAACGGTGCAAACTGAAGGCCCGTGAAGAGTTTTACTACACTGAACAACGCAGGAAAGAGCCGCAGATGGATTTTATGCACAAATAATCCATAATAATAATTTCGGGCTTTATTTCGAACAACTAGTGCGGTTGAATGAACGACGACTCCGAGCCCTTTGCCTTTATTTCAATTAGCAGTGTGTGTTTTCATCGTTGCTGACTGACAAACAATTGTGCAATAAAGGGCCGAGGTGCTGGACTTTGTCGTCAATAACTCCAACATTATTGACGACAAAGTCCGGCCTCGAGTGTCATAACTAAGGATAAAGATGGTTTCATTCTGATGTTTTTCTGCTCGTGCGTAACCTTTACTGCTGTTTTTATCTGCCTATGAGGAAACCCTCCACAATGCCTGCATATAAACATGAAAATGCCGCGTGACACCACGTGGGGGAATCCATTCAAAACCCCGTTTCGTGAGCAGGAGGTGGCAGCATTGTAACGGCAAGCCAACTTGAATTATCGGGCGCTCTCCAGCCGGATGACTTCATTTTCAGCCCCGTTACGAAACTGACAGCATCCCCCTGCCTGGCTTTCCAGAGGCAGAGATATTTCCCTCCCCAGAGACCCCCGCGTGACACCGCGGCTGTTAATTCGCGCTCGTCGTCACACCGACTGAAGCTGCCGGCGCTCCGTTTCCAACGGTTACGGCTGTATTTGCAGTCACAGATCCAAGCGGCTCAGCCGAACATCTGAAAACTCTCTGAAGAAGCTGATTTCCGACTCAGAAACACACACACACACACACACACACACACACACACACACACTCCTGCTGTTCCCTGGATGCATCACGCATGCAGATCGCAGCGCGGCGCAGCCTCTTTGATGTGCATGGAACAGAATTCTAGATGCTTCTTATATACCCACCCGAGAGGGAAGGAAGGAAGGAAGAGGATTACACAAGTTTCCCTGTTTCCTTTTTTTCCACCTTCTCACATCGTGCCTCGTCAAACCGGTGGGGGGGGGGGGGGGTCGACCCGCCCGTCTGTTGTGATTCGACGGAGGCCTCAAACAGAATGTAGGGCATCTGTTTTCAGCGCCTCCCTCCCCAGCAACACTGAGGAGGAGGTGATGGAAGCGATAACATCTTTCTCTACATCTCTTCCTCTACCCCCTCCCCCTCCTCCACCTCCTCTTCCTCCTCCTCCTCCACTTCCATTGTCCCTCAAACTTCAGTGAGACACTTAAGGGGCTCCCTTCGCTCCGCCCGTGTCCCCACGCCGCCCCGGTGCAGCCGACTGACGTCCTTCTGCTCCGTCGTGTCGGCAGCGACACTTGACAAGAAGCTTTCTCTTTTAAAGGGGGGGGGGGGGAATCGAGGAGGCATCGCTCCTGTGGTTCGACGTCTCACTCAGACGTCTGCGTGGTTGGTTTATTCGCGGCGCTTGTTTACCGACTTTTGGTGACACAGTGATGTTGATTCCGGATCCTCTTAAGTTATAAAAAAAACAAGATCAACTTGCTGCCGACATTTGAAAAAACGCAGTCATTTCTCAATCCTCTGCGAGGACTTTCTCCTGGGGAGGAAATACTGATTTGGAATGTGTTGAATGTGCAACAGCTAGACACGGTTCTCATACTTAGAACCACGTTACATGCATCAGTTTCTGTTGGTAGGAAACCACTGACCTCTGAGTCCGAACTGAGCTGACTGCATTGGGTGTGTCCCCTTTAAATAAATCCAACATGAAGACGCGTGTGTGTCACCCGGAATGCAAACAGTGTTGTTGTTGCAGCTCAGCAGTGGGGAGGAAAGGCTCAAATGTGCACGTTTTCTACGTCAGCCGAGGGGAACCACTGCGTTGGGTGTAGCCGTGACCTCGGTGACCCTCGTGACCCCCTGTGGTGCTGACACCGGCCCACCGGCTAATATCTCCCTCTCTCTCTCTCCTCGCTCCAAAGCGCTGAAGCGTGCCCCCAAGTTCATGGCGTCGCCGAAGAGCTCGGGGGTCACCGCACATCACACCTCGCCACTCTTATCTCCCCCTCTTCCTCCCCCTTCCACCCTCCCCCCACAGTGTGAATGCGGCATTTACAGTGAAATGTTCTGGCTGCCTCTAATTCTTCCCTCCCGTTCTCCCCCCCGCTCCCCCCCTCCCCGACACTATGGCTTTGTTTGATGACGCCGGCGCTCCCCGGCTGCTGTCCCCGTCCCAGGGCGGCGTTACAGTCACACGTTAGCATTAACGCTGGTGGGACGGACAGACGTGACGTGCT